TTTGGTCGATCGCGCCATTGCTTTTTGTCATACCTTTTTTGTCAAGTCAAGCGCTTGGCCGATTGCGCTCCACACCAAATCGACAAACAAACCTCTGTGTTTCGGTCTGTCTCAAGTTCAGTCATTCAGCTTGACACCGACCACGACCTCCGATCAAGACACTCGACCAGCCCCATTTCGCGTTCCTGTCATGCGCCCGTCACTGTCGTCGTCTACAACGACCCCCAACCGTGGCGAAAAGGGCTGCAACGAGGAGTGCCTTCATCACCGCCGCCGCCGAGCGGACAGTGCGCCGTTTACCGCGTCGAAGCGCCAGAAAACAGACGACAACGACGCGCGTCGTGGCGATCGCGAGCCTGCGCGCGCGCCCGCGAGTGGTTTCTTTGTCCGTCTCGCACGTTATATTCCTATTGTGAACAGGTTTGTGGCGGAGGAAGACGTGGGTACGAATGTGGATTTGGATGTCGGCGCGGACGCTGGTGTTGATGACGACACGGACGATGCAGAGTCGCGGGTCTTGAAGACATGTGGGAAGATTCAGACGGCGCAAGAGGACTTTGGTGAAGAGGGCGAGGGAGGGGACCGTGAAGGTGGTGAAGATGGAGGCGAAGATAAAGTGCCGGAAACGTTTGTGCCAGTGGATGTGGAGAAGAAGAAGAAGGTGCAGCAGCAGCAACAGCATCATCAGCATCGTGAGACGCTTGAGGACGCGGTGGACGTGGTGGTGCCGCCGGTGACCCGCTCGACGCTGCCTGCAAGTCGAAGAAAGAACAAAGTTGCTACAAGACCGTCGCTCCCGCGCAAGTGTCGTCGTTCAAGCTTGTCATGCGCGGGAGAGCAAGCAAGAGAGGGAGAGCGCTAGCGTTGTGATCGATCAAGCGCAGGAATCCCGTGGTCAGATGAAGAAGTTGATGCCGGTGGATGTGAAACCGGAGAAGAAGAAGAAGGTGGATCAGCAGCAGCAGAAGGATACGCTTGAGGACGCGGTAGATGTGTCGGTGCCACCAGTGACCCGCTCGACGCTATCTTCTGGTCGGAGGCAGGAGAAAGTTGCTGCTAGACCGTCGCTTCCGCGCAAGTGTCGTCGTTCAAGCTTGCTGCCGCGTGAAAGCAAGCAAGAGAGGGAAAGCGCTAGCGAGGTGATCGATCAAGCGCATGAACCCCGTGGTGAGATGAAGAAGTTGATGCCGGTGGATGTGAAACCGGAGAAGAAGAAGAAGGTGGATCAGCAGCAGCAGAGAGGATACGCTTGAGGACGCGGTAGATGTGTCGGTGCCACCAGTGACCTCACATCCCCGATTTGTTATTCGGGGGGAAGGGAAATATTTTCGAAGACCGACGCCCAGGCCCGAGTTTCATTGTTCGCTCCCGCCGTCACGTGAGAGAAGTCGAGAGTGGAGAAACTCTCGTGATGTGATCGATCAAGTGCAGCGATCACGTGATAATGAGCGTCGGGGGATGTTTGAACCATATCGACCGTCTAAGACGCTGCATGGTGCTGGCACGCAGGAGCGACGGGTACCCCCTTCCCCGTCGCCCGAAGCTGGCATGCAGGAGCGACGGGTACCCACTTCTCCGTCGTTTGACTTGGCACTCGAAGCATCCAGGATGGAGCCCATACTTTCACACGATGAAATACAGCGTCTTCTGGAACGGGCGCGCAAGATGGCGGAGACAACGCATCGAGTACAGGTGGCAAGGACGCAAGCAACTTCTTCGATCCCAGGCTACATGCCTGGTTCTATTGCGGCGCAGAACCGTGGTCGGTTCGGCCGCTCAAAGTGAGCGGAAACGTGGAGTGGAAGGCGCGGTGAAGAGTGACATGCCATTCGGTAAGCGTCCTAAGAACGCATGAGACTGAGCCAATGAGGTTCCCCGGCACTACTCTGCGCGGACTCATGACGCGTGAGGAACGCCATTTGCGTGATCCACGTTCGTCTTCGCTGTTGCCTAGGCGCGATGCTGCTACGAGCAAGATGTGTTCTGATGCACTTGTGGAAAGAAATATATCGGTGCTAAACAAGGTGCAGAGCCCGCCGGCGCAAGAGACACACAAGCCGACACCTTCGACGACCGTGTCGGGGATGAAAGACCAAAAACCAAAAGCCCCCCCAAAAAACTTCGAGAAGTGCGACTGCTCCGTCAACTGATGCGCCTGCGCCAAGTTCGTCTCAGGTGACGTCGATGACCTCTGCATCGACTCCCACGAGAACTGTTCCTGAGCAGCAAGAGATGGAGACGATTGGTGGATTAGGGGTTATACTTCCTATTGGCGTCAAAGGAATGAAACACGCAGGGGCGGATGATAAGGATACCCGTGTCCGATTTGCGTTCTCTCCTTCGCCCAGCATGCGCGAGCCTCCCGTGAAAGTTTTGAACCAGAAGACTACGAAGGATGACGGCAAAAAGTCTGTCGCGGCCGAGGAGGCCACGAAGCTTAGTGCTGATATGCCGGCAGTTACACCTGCTGCTTCTCTCAGCGGTGCTGCTAATCCTCTCGCCAGGTTTATGCAGCTAAAACCTGGACAGTGGAAGTGTACTGGATGCCGTGTCTTGAACGAGGCTACCAGTGGCAGATGTCCATGTTGTGGAACCGCTCGATCTGATGGTGGCTCTGCGGCAAAAGCTCGTACTGCACTGTTGAAGACGACTGAAAAGTGTCCTTTGACTGGACTTAGCTTTGGTACAACCACCGAAGCTACAGCGGCCGCAGACAAGGGTACTGCTACGCCGGCTGCTGGCTCAATCACGCCTGCTCTCACAAGTTTTAGCACTGCGTCGTCTCCGCAACCGATGGAATCCACAGCGTTCTGTTGGGCACCTTCCACAACGAGCTTTGGTACTGCGTCGTCAGCTTTTGGGTCGAGCTCATCTGGTGGCGCTGATTCCAGCTCCACTGCGGGAGGGTTCGGTAGTACTTCGGCTGCTGCTCCCTCGACTCCGTATGGCAGCTCCACGTCTTCGTTGCAAGCTGCACCGCCATTTCTTTTCGGAGGATTTAGTCAAGCACAAACTGCGACTACGCCGACAAACACCCAGCCGACGCTCGCTTTCAGTGCGTCGAGTGCCCCAGCTCCTAACGGCTTTGAAACGGTGGTCCAAGTGGTGGATTCGGCACTACATTTGTTGCTCCTGCGCCAGGCAGTGGATTCGGCAATGGCCCACCGAGCTTGCACCGGCGGTCCAAGCGGTGGATTTGGAACTATATTTGATGCTCCTGAGACAGGCAGTGAATTCGGCAATGGCCCACCGAGCTCTGACTTTCTCCCTCCAACTCCGACCTCTGCATCTCCAACTCCGACCTCTGCATTTGGTTTCACTCCTGCAGCTCCGGGCTTTGGCACCATTCCAAACACGGCTTTTGGCACTGAAGCTCCCACTTCTGGTTTCAGAGATCCTACTGCAGATGCAGTTAGCGCTCCAGATGATGGCACGTGTAGCATGGACATTGATTATGTCCATGCTGATAGCACGTTTGGCATGGACGTTGGTTATGCCCCAGTCCAAGCTTCGCCCTTCGGCACTGACCCGAGTATAGCTTTCAATGCTACGACTTCCGCTTTTGGTTTTGGAGCTCCTGCTGCAGATGGTTTTGGCGCCCCGACTGACGGCAGGTTTGGCATGAACGGTGGTTATGCCCCAGCCCCAGCTTCGTCCTTCGGCACTGACCCGAGTATAGCTTTCGGTGCGACGCCATCCGCTTCAAATTTTGGGGCTCCTGCTGCAGGCGGTTTTGGCGCCCCGACTGACGGCAGGTTTGGCATGAACGGTGGTTATGCCCCAGCCCCAGCTTCGTCCTTCGGCACTGACCCGAGTATAGCTTTCGGTGCTACGACTTCCGCTTTTGGTTTTGGAGCTCCTGCTGCAGGTGGTTTTGGCGCCCCGACTGATGGCAGGTTTGGCATGAACGGTGGTTATGCCCCAGCCCCAGCTTCGTCCTTCGGCACTGACCCGAGTATAGCTTTCGGTGCGACGCCATCCGCTTCAAATTTTGGAGCTCTTGCTGCAGGTGGTTTTGGCGCCCCGACTGATGGCAGGTTTGGCATGAACGGTGGTTATGCCCCAGCCCCAGCTTCGTCCTTCGGCACTGACCCGAGTATAGCTTTCGGTGCTATGCCCTCCGCTTTCAATTTTGGAGCTCCTGCTGCAGGCGGTTCTGGCGCCCCGACTGATGGCAGGTTTGGCACGAACGGTGGTTATGCCCCAGCCCCCAGCCCCAGTCCCAGCCCAAGCTTCGACCTTCCGTGCTATTCCGAACGCATCTTTCGGTGCGACGCCATCCGCTTCTGGTTTCGGAGCTCCTGCTGCAGGTGCATTTATCGCGCCCTCTGCTGTCTCATTCAGCATTGGTGTTGCACCGGAGCACGCCAAAGGTAGACGCATTTTGAAGGCCAAGAGTCGCAAACGTAGAACGTCGTAAACGAGAATGAAGGGTCAGTCAGTTTGCTTTGGTATGTCATATTATATTAGAACAAACGGCGCGACAGCGACTTACTCTAGAGGTACACGTGATGCATCATCTAACGAGCTAGAAGACAATAAATTCAATGCTTGACTCGAATGCGCCTCGGCGGTGTGTAGTCCGCACATCTGGAGGTAACACATGCCATTGCCGTCTGCCCACTGCTTCGTAACGCTGGTGACTGCTTTCATAGGAAGTCTCATTACAATGCTTCGTACAGCCAAAGCTCCCAAGGACGATGCGTCGTGCAGCCACATGCATCTGACGTGTCTTGAAAGCTGTGCAAATTGCCACGGAGCATGATGTCGCGGGTTCGGATCTCGAGAGTCCCAACCTCTACTTCCATCCGACGCAGGTTGAGTGTGCAAGTACATCAAACGTGCGACCATCGGTCCATGTGATCTGGCATCGAAATCCCATCAAGGAAGCACCCAAGCTTTTCTAATGCAAAAGGTCAGCAAAATGAGCGTCAAGCAGGTTCGACGAAACTTCGCCTCTACAGCAACAGCTTGCAACGTAGTGCGCTGCTGCAGTCAACAGCTTCACCACCGCCAGACCTCGTAGATCGATACTGAACACGACACACTCACGCCCATGTGACAGCACTGTCCACACCCATGTGACCGCACACTCCGCACCCATGTAACAGCACACTCCACACCCATGCACCTTGTGAAGCGGTCTTGTTGCTTGCTCACTTTTCTGTCAGACTGTTTTGTTCTTGCAATTACACGGCCTCGGAGCTTTATTGCTCGTCCTGGCAGAAACTGAAAAGAGCAGCCAGCCACCACGCGTTCATGCCAGTGGCGAATGAAAGCCGAAGTCACGACAGTAATGCCGGACTGACCAACCACTGGTTCCGGCAGTGCCCCGCGTCTACGTTGACGTTGTAACAGGAACAGACCGTCGACGATGTTGTTGTGCGCTTTGCGCTGGCTCGAGAGTCATCTAGCGGGCAGTCTTCTTCACTCACTGCTGCTTTTGTCTGGATCTTAATCTTCATCCCCTTCTTCTTCTTCTTCTTCTTTTTCACTATCATCATTCTCATTGCCATCGCCTATTACATCATCTCCGCTGCTTTTGTCTTCATTCTCTCCGACATTTCCATCACTGCTTGCATCGAATCTGGCATTCGTAAACCATGATCTCTGCCGCTCGTTGCTGCGAAACTGAGTCACGTCTGGATAGCCGGTGAAACTCTCCCGAATCTGGAGTAACTTGAACGCGTGCATCCCCGGTCTCACTGATCGTAATATGCACTTGGGTCTGAGCACAATCTCCCAAGGTCGGAAACATCAACAAACCTGCCAGTCCTTCGGCTTGCCTGATGATGACGTGTCCTGATGGTCTTTTCGAGCACCACGGCAGCCTGGCACAGACACTGCAGAGCGCACTGACACCTGCAGCACTCGATCGTCTCGCGGATCGATGTTGCAGAACGTACGATGGATCGGTGCAAACGCCCCAACAACGACTTCTCCTTTTCATCGTGCGAACTGCTGTCGTTGCTGAAATCAGGAATCGTTTCCATCAGTACAAATACCTCGGGATTAGGTACCATCAATAGCCCCTTGGGAATCAATAGAAAACCCTGTCGACGATGCATGCACCTGGACGAGACCATACCGTCCACTGGCACAGTGCACGTGTACCATCTAGACGCACCACTTGAGAGTACACTCGTACGCTAGTGTCAATTGGCAACCAGCCACTCGAGACCATCATTTGCGTAGCTCGCATCCACACTTCACGCAGTTTTCGCGCCAAGAGAAATACGCGCACGGCTTTGCAAGATACTTCAATGTCGTTTGCGGACCACCACAGTGCCAACGTGTCCCGGATACCAGCTCATGCTAGAGAAGTAGTGGCCTCAGCTCTCTCAAGCGGATGGAGGCAATCATAGGCCATGAGACAATCACGGCGATGAAGAGTCTACTTGCTTGCAACGCCACCGGGAAGGAAGCTTGTACGCTGGAAAGTCTCCACCTCTTCTTTTCCAACACGTACACAAACAGATCTCCTCAGTCTTGGCGCCGCGGATGCTCTCCAGGAGTTCGTGTCGCTGCTGCTCGAGTGATACGCTACAGCACAGCAGCGTGGTGCAAAGCAAGGCAATGCAACGTCGGTTGGCAACCAGCCACTCGAGACCATCATTTACGTAGCTCGCATCCACACTTCGCGCAGTTTTCGCACCGAGAGAAATACGCGCACGGCTTTGCAAGATACTTCAATGTCGTTTGCGGACCACCACAGTGCCAACGTGTCCCGGATACCAGCGCATGCTAGAGAAGTAGTGGCCTCAGCTCTCTCAAGCGGAAGGCGACAATCACACGGCGATGAAGAGTCTACTTGCTTGCAACGCCACCGGGAAGGAAGCTTGTACGCTCGAAAGTTTCCACCTCTTCTTTTCCAACACGTACACAAACAGATCTCCTCCGTCTTGGCGCCGCGGATGCTCTCCAGGAGTTCGTGTCGCTGCTGCTCGAGTGATACGCTACAGCACAGCAGCGTGGTGCAAAGCAAGGCAATGCAACGTCGGTTGGCAACCAGCCACTCGAGACCATCATTTACGTAGCTCGCATCCACACTTCGCGCAGTTTTCGCACCTAGAGAAATACGCGCACGGCTTTGCAAGATACTTCAATGTCGTTTGCGGACCACCACAGTGCCAACGTGTCCCGGATACCAGCTCATGCTAGAGAAGTAGTGGCCTCAGCTCTCTCAAGCGGAAGGCGACAATCACACGGCGATGAAGAGTCTACTTGCTTGCAACGCCACCGGGAAGGAAGCTTGTACGCTGCAAAGTCTCCACCTCTTCTTTTCCAACACGTACACAAACAGATCTCCTCCGTCTTGGCGCCGCGGATGCTCTCCAGGAGTTCGTGTCGCTGCTGCTCGAGTCGATACGCTACAGCACAGCAGCGTGGTGCAAAGCAAGGCAATTGCAACGTCGGTTGGCAACCAGCCACTCGAGACCATCATTTACGTAGCTCGCATCCACGCTTCACGCAGTTTTCGCACCTAGAGAAATACGCGCACGGCTTTGCAAGATACTTCAATGTCGTTTGCGGACCACCACAGTGCCAACATGCCCCGGATACCAGCTCATGCTAGAGAAGTAGTGGACTCAGCTCTCTCAAGCGGAATGCAGACAATCACACGGCGATGAAGAGTCTACTTGCTTGCAACGCCACCGGGAAGGAAGCTTGTACGCTCGAAAGTCTCCACCTCTTCTTTTCCAACACGTACACAAACAGATCTCCTCCGTCTTGGCGCCGCGGATGCTCTCCAGGAGTTCGTGTCGCTGCTGCTCGAGTGAATACGCTACAGCACAGCAGCGTGGTGCAAAGCAAGGCAATGCAACGTCGGTTGGCAACCAGCCACTCGAGACCATCATTTGCGTAGCTCGCATCCACACTTCACGCAGTTTTCGCACCTAGAGAAATACGCGCACGGCTTTGCAAGATACTTCAATGTCGTTTGCGGACCACCACAGTGCCAACATGTCCCGGATACCAGCGCATGCTAGAGAAGTAGTGGCCTCAGCTCTCTCAAGCGGAAAGCGACAATCACACGGCGATCAAGAGTCTACTTGCTTGCAACGCCACCGGGAAGGAAGCTTGTACGCTCGAAAGTCTCCACCTCTTCTTTTCCAACACGTACACAAACAGATCTCCTCTGTCTTGGCGCCGCGGATGCTCTCCAGGAGTTCGTGTCGCTGCTGCTCGAGTGATACGCTACAGCACAGCAGCGTGGTGCAAAGCAAGGCAATGCAACGTCGGTTGGCAACCAGCCACTCGAGACCATCATTTGCGTAGCTCGCATCCACACTTCACGCAGTTTTCGCACCAAGAGAAATACGCGCACGGCTTTGCAAGATACTTCAATGTCGTTTGCGGACCACCACAGTGCCAACATGCCCCGGATACCAGCTCATGCTAGAGAAGTAGTGGCCTCAGCTCTCTCAAGCGGAAAGCGACAATCACACGGCGATCAAGAGTCTACTTGCTTGCAACGCCACCGGGAAGGAAGCTTGTACGCTGCAAAGTCTCCACCTCTTCTTTTCCAACACGTACACAAACAGATCTCCTCCGTCTTGGCGCCGCGGATGCTCTCCAGGAGTTCGTGTCGCTGCTGCTCGAGTGATACGCTACAGCACAGCAGCGTGGTGCAAAGCAAGGCAATGCAACGTCGGTTGGCAACCAGCCACTCGAGACCATCATTTACGTAGCTCGCATCCACACTTCACGCAGTTTTCGCACCAAGAGAAATACGCGCACGGCTTTGCAAGATACTTCAATGTCGTTTGCGGACCACCACAGTGCCAACGTGTCCCGGATACCAGCTCATGCTAGAGAAGTAGTGGCCTCCGCTCTCTCAAGCGGAAAGCGACAATCACACGGCGATGAAGAGTCTACTTGCTTGCAACGCCACCGGGAAGGAAGCTTGTACGCTGCGAAAGTTTCCACCTCTTCTTTTCCAACACGTACACAAACAGATCTCCTCCGTCTTGGCGCCGCGGATGCTCTCCAGGAGTTCGTGTCGCTGCTGCTCGAGTGATACGCTACAGCACAGCAGCGTGGTGCAAAGCAAGGCAATGCAACGTCGGTTGGCAACCAGCCACTCGAGACCATCATTTGCGTAGCTCGCATCCACACTTCACGCAGTTTTCGCACCTAGAGAAATACGCGCACGGCTTTGCAAGATACTTCAATGTCGTTTGCGGACCACCACAGTGCCAACATGCCCCGGATACCAGCGCATGCTAGAGAAGTAGTGGACTCCGCTCTCTCAAGCGGAAAGCGACAATCACACGGCGATCAAGAGTCTACTTGCTTGCAACGCCACCGGGAAGGAAGCTTGTACGCTCGAAAGTCTCCACCTCTTCTTTTCCAACACGTACACAAACAGATCTCCTCCGTCTTGGCGCCGCGGATGCTCTCCAGGAGTTCGTGTCGCTGCTGCTCGAGTGATACGCTACAGCACAGTAGCGTGGTGCAAAGCAAGGCAATGCAACGTCGGTTGGCAACCAGCCACTCGAGACCATCATTTACGTAGCTCGCATCCACACTTCACGCAGTTTTCGCACCAAGAGAAATACGCGCACGGCTTTGCAAGATACTTCAATGTCGTTTGCGGACCACCACAGTGCCAACGTGTCCCGGATACCAGCTCATGCTAGAGAAGTAGTGGCCTCAGCTCTCTCAAGCGGAAAGCACGACAATCACACGGCGATGAAGAGTCTACTTGCTTGCAACGCCACCGGGAAGGAAGCTTGTACGCTGCGAAAGTCTCCACCTCTTCTTTTCCAACACGTACACAAACAGATCTCCTCCGTCTTGGCGCCGCGGATGCTCTCCAGGAGTTCGTGTCGCTGCTGCTCGAGTGATACGCTACAGCACAGCAGCGTGGTGCAAAGCAAGGCAATGCAACGTCGGTTGGCAACCAGCCACTCGAGACCATCATTTGCGTAGCTCGCATCCACACTTCACGCAGTTTTCGCACCTAGAGAAATACGCGCACGGCTTTGCAAGATACTTCAATGTCGTTTGCGGACCACCACAGTGCCAACGTGTCCCGGATACCAGCGCATGCTAGAGAAGTAGTGGCCTCAGCTCTCTCAAGCGGAAAGCCAGACAATCACACGGCGATGAAGAGTCTACTTGCTTGCAACGCCACCGGGAAGGAAGCTTGTACGCTCGAAAGTCTCCACCTCTTCTTTTCCAACACGTACACAAACAGATCTCCTCCGTCTTGGCGCCGCGGATGCTCTCCAGGAGTTCGTGTCGCTGCTGCTCGAGTGATACGCTACAGCACAGCAGCGTGGTGCAAAGCAAGGCAATGCAACGTCGGTTGGCAACCAGCCACTCGAGACCATCATTTACGTAGCTCGCATCCACACTTCACGCAGTTTTCGCACCAAGAGAAATACGCGCACGGCTTTGCAAGATACTTCAATGTCGTTTGCGGACCACCACAGTGCCAACGTGTCCCGGATACCAGCTCATGCTAGAGAAGTAGTGGACTCAGCTCTCTCAAGCGGAAAGGCAGACAATCACACGGCGATGAAGAGTCTACTTGCTTGCAACGCCACCGGGAAGGAAGCTTGTACGCTCGAAAGTCTCCACCTCTTCTTTTCCAACACGTACACAAACAGATCTCCTCCGTCTTGGCGCCGCGGATGCTCTCCAGGAGTTCGTGTCGCTGCTGCTCGAGTGATACGCTACAGCACAGCAGCGTGGTGCAAAGCAAGGCAATGCAACGTCGGTTGGCAACCAGCCACTCGAGACCATCATTTACGTAGCTCGCATCCACACTTCACGCAGTTTTCGCACCAAGAGAAATACGCGCACGGCTTTGCAAGATACTTCAATGTCGTTTGCGGACCACCACAGTGCCAACGTGTCCCGGATACCAGCTCATGCTAGAGAAGTAGTGGCCTCAGCTCTCTCAAGCGGAAAAAAATAGCAGACAATCACACGGCGATGAAGAGTCTACTTGCTTGCAACGCCACCGGGAAGGAAGCTTGTACGCTGGAAAGTCTCCACCTCTTCTTTTCCAACACGTACACAAACAGATCTCCTCCGTCTTGGCGCCGCGGATGCTCTCCAGGAGTTCGTGTCGCTGCTGCTCGAGTGATACGCTACAGCACAGCAGCGTGGTGCAAAGCAAGGCAATGCAACGTCGGTTGGCAACCAGCCACTCGAGACCATCATTTACGTAGCTCGCATCCACACTTCACGCAGTTTTCGCACCAAGAGAAATACGCGCACGGCTTTGCAAGATACTTCAATGTCGTTTGCGGACCACCACAGTGCCAACGTGTCCCGGATACCAGCTCATGCTAGAGAAGTAGTGGACTCCGCTCTCTCAAGCGGAAAGCGACAATCACACGGCGATGAAGAGTCTACTTGCTTGCAACGCCACCGGGAAGGAAGCTTGTACGCTGCAAAGTCTCCACCTCTTCTTTTCCAACACGTACACAAACAGATCTCCTCCGTCTTGGCGCCGCGGATGCTCTCCAGGAGTTCGTGTCGCTGCTGCTCGAGTGATACGCTACAGCACAGCAGCGTGGTGCAAAGCAAGGCAATGCAACGTCGGTTGGCAACCAGCCACTCGAGACCATCATTTACGTAGCTCGCATCCACACTTCGCGCAGTTTTCGCACCAAGAGAAATACGCGCACGGCTTTGCAAGATACTTCAATGTCGTTTGCGGACCACCACAGTGCCAACATGCCCCGGATACCAGCTCATGCTAGAGAAGTAGTGGCCTCAGCTCTCTCAAGCGGAAAGACAAGCGACAATCACACGGCGATGAAGAGTCTACTTGCTTGCAACGCCACCGGGAAGGAAGCTTGTACGCTCGAAAGTTTCCACCTCTTCTTTTCCAACACGTACACAAACAGATCTCCTCCGTCTTGGCGCCGCGGATGCTCTCCAGGAGTTCGTGTCGCTGCTGCTCGAGTGATACGCTACAGCACAGCAGCGTGGTGCAAAGCAAGGCAATGCAACGTCGGTTGGCAACCAGCCACTCGAGACCATCATTTACGTAGCTCGCATCCACACTTCACGCAGTTTTCGCACCAAGAGAAATACGCGCACGGCTTTGCAAGATACTTCAATGTCGTTTGCGGACCACCACAGTGCCAACGTGTCCCGGATACCAGCTCATGCTAGAGAAGTAGTGGCCTCCGCTCTCTCAAGCGGAAAGCGACAATCACACGGCGATGAAGAGTCTACTTGCTTGCAACGCCACCGGGAAGGAAGCTTGTACGCTCGAAAGTTTCCACCTCTTCTTTTCCAACACGTACACAAACAGATCTCCTCCGTCTTGGCGCCGCGGATGCTCTCCAGGAGTTCGTGTCGCTGCTGCTCGAGTGATACGCTACAGCACAGCAGCGTGGTGCAAAGCAAGGCAATGCAACGTCGGTTGGCAACCAGCCACTCGAGACCATCATTTACGTAGCTCGCATCCACACTTCACGCAGTTTTCGCACCAAGAGAAATACGCGCACGGACCAGTTCTACGAAAGTAGCATGGTAGCTACGAAGGGCTAAAAAGTCACAAAGCAGACTGTAGACGCGTGTGATTGCTCTAGTTGGTAAGTGTGTGCATGTGTCTGGTAGGTTGTAAACTTCCATACGAGATCCGCAGCATTTCTGAAACGTCCTCTGTGCGTATGACGCAGGATTTTTGAACCGCCTTACAACCAAGTAAATGCTGTATCACGCTAGCCTTCGTTTCATCCACCACCGAGAGCGTAGTGACACTTCAATGCACAATACAGGCGGGTCCTTTTTCTGCATATCGAGGACAACGATCACGTGTGAGGTCGTTTGCGCGAAGGACGTGTGTGCGATGCAACTTGTCTATGTGACGCAACTTTTGATGTGTCAGCCAGGCGTATCGATTTACTTGCGACAGGTCGAGCATTTTCGCGTCTTTGTTGTTCTTGACAAGTACGATTGGACAGTGTGAAGCAAGTCATTTGCGTCAGAACGTCGTGTACGTTACCACTTATCGATTGCACCCGTCTTCGAGCGAGTCATAGCCATCCTCGCCATCTCCACCTGCATCATTCAGCTCTTCAAGCAGAGCCTTGACGCGCGCAACCGCTGAAGGAGATGACACGATCGAGCAGGAATTGTACCGCTTCACCGCCACTAGCACAATGTCGAGGTCACCCGTCTGAGCAGGTTCCGAGTCGTCCAGCGCGACAGCAAGGCTACCCTCTATCATCTCTGCCAGTTGCCCGCGAGCATGCTTGCCTGCGTTTTTCAACCACATTTCGCGTGATTCCAAGAAGGACGAGAACTCATCCAGCGGCAAGCTCAACACGCGGGCATCCATCTCAGACAGCAGTGCCCGTGCACCGTCATCGGTAAGCTCGTCAGAAACAACGTCGGTCCCGGTCGCAGCGCAAGCACGCCAGCATGATAGATACTTAACCGCCGACGAAACTGGTCTGCCACCAGCGGTGCGACTGCAGGTTTCACCACGTGCACTGCACGCTTTTGACGGGCCATACCTGTGCGCTCCAGAAATGCCGAGTTGCCACGAAGTCCAAAGAATGACCGCGTGTATGCCAGATGCTTCTTGTCGAGACTAGTAAAACTGCCGAAAGGTTTTTCAGCCTTCGCCTGCTTCTTGTTCTTATGCACTCTAGTCACCTTATTCGTTGGTCGAGAGAGTGGGGTCGGACCTATCGCAGCTGAGATCGTATCGGTTTCACGACTCTTACGAATGACTGCGAAAAAGAAGCCGTGGGTATCGTTCTGATGAGGCAGCACACGAACACAGCGGTCGAGGCGCAACCCGTCGCACTCTTCCGATGCCGGGGGCCACATAGACAGACGGCAACGATGTCGCTGGTCTTCCGGGACGTCATCCCAAGTCGCCACATCAACAACGTCCCACTTTGTCAGGCCGTGCGAGCGCTTCAGTCCTTCCAAACTATTATCGGTCTTGACAAGTTCCAGCGTACCCTTCGAGCGGCGAAGTAGCTCAGCGACCACTGCCTCATCCTTGATCGGATTCAGCGATCGAGTGCTGTACAACAACGAGCCACCAGCGCGCACAACAAGGGCGAGCGCATGTTCAGCAAGACCAACTGGGCTCGGGTGGTGTACCAGCGCTTGTTCGGGATTCCACGTATGCCACTTTTTAAACTAATTAGCAACTTGTGTGTAGTAAAATCCTTTTGGAACTCGTCATGTGATCCGAGGCTGTCAGGGCTATGCCAAGTGCGATGCTAATGTGGAAGTCCTGTGTCAGCAAACGAGTCGTGTGATGTGCGCTTGTTTTGAGCGTCACATCTGAAGGCGATTTTGTTTGATTGCTTTACTTCATCGAAATAAGTGATTGTTGTCCACTGGGCTCGTATTGCATATGCATTGAAGTTTACTGTCGATATCATGCAGCGGGCTCACCCCGTTACAATATTCATCGTAGCTTGCGTGCAGATCGCAGTCAATTTTAGCTCAAAGTTATGGACACCCCAAATATGATTAGCCACCTGGCGACAAGTGCGACTTGCGAAATGTGCGAGTTGGCTCGCTCTTGCCTCGACTGTAAAAGCCCACGACCGTGCAGCATTTTTCATACAAGACCGCTTTATTACAATCTCGGGAAAATGTAGCTGTTCGGCGGTCTCCACAAACTTATACAAAACATCCCTCTTTCCAGCCTTCTTACTCGCTGAAATTCATTCGCGGCCACACAAACCTCAGCCAATCGCGCGAGCTATTCGCTCAACCTCGATCGAATAAAACTCTCGATTTGAAGCATGGGTCGAATAAAACTCTACATTTGCTGATTGTATCGTGCCAAAACCCCACACAGTGAGCGGTCGTTTTTCATCAAGTCAGAGGATTCGAACCTCTAAGTTTGAGCTCTCCAGTTCTTCCCATGAGCGGCAGCACGGGGCCGACGCCGAGTCAGGAGGAGTCCATGACGGCTGCAGTTGACGTGGCGCAGCTCACAGCGGCCATCCGCGTCATCCTCAAGGACGCAGACCTGGAGCAGCTGTCGCGTCGCATGATCCGCAAGCAGCTCGAGACGCAGTTTGGTGCGGATTTGTCCAGTTATAAGGACGTGATCAATGCGACGATTCTGGAAACCATTGAAGAGCAACAAGCAGCGGAAGAAGAGGAAGAAGAAGAAGATCAGGAAGAGGAGCAGGAGCCCGACCCGAGTGAAGGGGACGCAGACGACGAGCAGGTCGAGCAGCGCGTTCGCAAGAAGCAGTCGACGTCTGTCGAGAAGAAGAAGAAGAAGAAGAAAACAAAGGAAACACCAAAGAAAAGCAAGCGGAAGGCCGATGGCGACGGTGACAAGAAAGCTGCTGGAAGAGGGTTCAATGCCGAGCTCTGCTTGTCCCCAGAGCTCGCGCAGGTCGTGGGAACGGACACGATGGCACGACCGCAAGTGGTGAAGGCTCTGTGGGCATACATTCGAGAGCACGATTTGCAGGACCCGAACAACAAAAAGTCCATCATCCTGGACGACACGTTGCGTGCTGTGTTCCAGCGGGAGTCGTTCACGATGTTCAGTATGAACAAGTTCGTCAAGCGTCACGTGCGCAAGCCCGATGACATGCCGCCTGGGGGATGGAGTCAGATTCCTCGAGATGGCGTTTCGAGTGACGAAGACACGGGCGTAAAGCCCAAGAAGAAAGCGGTGAAACGGAAGAAGAAAACGACGTCGATGGAGGAAGGAGACGACGACAGCAAGAAGAAGACGCATGCATTCAACATTGAGCTGTCGCTGTCACCGGAACTGGCTTCGCTCGTTGGCGCTGATTGCATGGCACGACCACAGATTGTAAAGGCCTTGTGGGCGTACATTCATGAACATGGGCTGCAGGACCCGCAGGACAAACGCACGATTCTGTTGGACGATAGGATGCGACAGGTTTTCCAGCGCGACTCGTTCACTATGTTTTCCATGAACAAATTCATCAAACGACATGCTCGCAAGCTCACAGACATGCCACCAGGAGGCTGGGCGGATATCCCACGCGACGGACTATCGAGTGACGAGGATGAGGCCAAGACCAAGAAAAAAGCTCGAAAAGGCAAATGAGACATCTGGAGAGGTGACGGTGCGGTTGGGCAGATGGAAACGTAGAGCAGATCGTGGAAAACAGGGATTGCGTGGATGCCGTGATGGAGTGCGAGGCGCAAGGCACAATTGAGCTACCGGATCATAAAGGGTGGCGTCACTCTATTGTAGGTGCGTCGAGGGGGTGACAATCATGATGAAGTAGACCGGCGGTAGCGATTTTGAGCAAAAACGCAGCAAATACAAAGTCGCCGCTGCATGGTCGTCATGTCGTGTTGTCGCTGTAGAGCTACTTGCATCGATCACAGTTTCGGTCAACATCATCGTTCGAATGTGCCTATCCCATGTTGCAACTCGCGTGCAACGATTGCAAGGCAAGTGAAGTAGCACGTCGACAACATCTGGGCATGCCGAATAATACCATGCAACGACATGCAAGTGACTAGATAGACAACATGTGGACGCTCGGAAGGTTCCTGAAAAGTCGACACGCTGGGTTATCAGACGTAGATGCAGGAAGCTGTCCACCTCATAATTTTGCGTAAGTTACTACTGCGCAGGCCCGTGATTTGCTGAGCTCCTATCACACATCATCATGAACGGACATTACGTGAAGATGCATTCATTAAAAGACATAGAGCTCTGGCTCATGGATAAGCTGCACAGCTCTTTGGTTGCCTTCCTCAACGCATTCAGTTGAGCTGGAAACATTCGTTCTTCACCTTTTGCGACGACAAGCAAATTGATTCCGTGATTCTGCAAAGCATGCAACTGAAGCCTAAGTGCAACAGATGATACAGCGACAAAGTGGAACATGCGGCAGACATCACCGCGTCGTTGTGGCACAGATGCATTGGTATGAGTATCTCGTGTCAGAATTGACAAATCATCGGACATCACACGAGAATATCCATCGAAGCCACGTTCATCGTACAAGAGACACGACTTTTTGACCCTGTCGGCCGGCGGTGGTACTTTGTGCCAGCATAGCTAGGTGTCGATTTTATGTCATTTTGTGCCGAGCCAATGCTTTGTCCAGGCGTTACAATGTGTCCTCAATTTGACTGGCGCACGAAAAACAACAAGCAGCACCCGTCTGTCGAGACGGTCAGTCAGTCATGGACGCGTCCGTGATCACCAGGTTCCGCGAGAAGGTCATCCAGCAGCCAGAGGTGCGTCTCCTGATGCTACAGTATATGTGCTGCGTACAGAGCTGGTCTCGATACCAAAACTAACAACGTCATCTCTCTATCATCGTCCTCTCCATCATTGTCGTCACCAGGTGTTCTTCACACCGTCAACGGACATTGCCGAGGAGATTCAAGCGTTCGCCAAGCACGCATACGACCGCACGTCCAAGTACCAGAGCAAGAGCGGAGGCGCTCAGCCACTGGACGAGCTCTATGTGGACGGTTTTGACGCCGACCAGGTGTGGGAGCAGCTGCGTCTGCTGAATGGTCCGTTGGTAGCGGAGATGACACAGCGCATCCGCTCGTTCGGCAAGACGCCGGACAAAATTCGGCTTTTCACGTCGGAAGAAGAAGGAAGAAAGCACAGAAGAGGAAGTGGTCGACAGTGACGCGGAGAGCGAAGAGGAGACGCTTTGCGATGAGGAAAGGTCCAGTGATGAGGAAGATGTGACAGACGATGCCAACGTGAATAAAGGAGAGCAAGCGGTGAAGAAAGCAAAGAAGAAGAGTACGAAGGCCCGTGATGTTGCGGAGGATGGATTCTTCGACTGGGATGAAATGGACAAGGCGGCTGAGGAAGAGGAGGAAGAGGACGATGACGATGAGGACGATGACGATAGGGACGAAGGTATGGACGATGACGATGACGCAGCTGGCGGTGAGAGTGACGACAACGATAGCGAGTCCGAGATGGAAGAGGACTCGGACGCTGAAGCTGCGGAGGACATGAAGTACGATGACTTTTTCGGAAACGAAGAGGAAGATGGAGAAGACGGCGATGAGGAGGAGGAGGAGGAGGAGGAGCTGAACGACGGCGAGACGCGTGCCGATGACAATGATGAGGACGAGTACCCGACTACGAAGCGCGCGAAACCTGACAAGGCGGAGAGTGTCGATGACGAGGAGCTTGCTGGGCGAGGCATTATGTCATCTCACCAGCGTCAGCGTCAGCGACTACAGAAGGAGATCAAGGAGCTAGAACAGGAGGCGATTAGCGAGAAGCCGTGGCTGCTGAAGGGTGAGGTGCGTTCAGCCGCTCGACCGGAGAATAGTTTGTTAGAAGCGGTCCTCGACTACGATAGACCCGTGAATGCAGCGCCTGTGATTACCGAGGAAGTGTCGATCGCGCTTGAGGAGATGATCAAAAAGCGTATCCTCGAGGACGACTTTGACGACGTGATCCGTAAGTTTGCTGGAAATGAGGAGGACAAGCAAGAGAAGCTGGAGGAGGTGTCGATGGAAAAGTCCAAGGAAGGTCTGGGCGAGATCTATGAAAAGGAGTACATGAAAACGGCCATGGGCTTCGAGGCCGACGACGAATCGAAGCAGGACCAAGAGGAGATTGACGTGATGTTCAAAAGTCTTTGCTGGAAACTGGATGCGCTGTCGAACTACCACTTTACACCCAAGCCCGCCGTCAAGGAACTGCAGGTCAAGCCTGCTGTGCCTGCGATCGCAATGGAGGAGGTGGTACCTATCAGCGTCAGCGATGCAAACCTGAAGGCACCCGAAGAGGTGTACGAGAAGAAGCGCAAGCGCGGCGAGGCCGTGCTGCAGTCCAAGGAAGAAATGACGCAGCCCGAGCGCAAGGCGTTGCGCAATGCGAAGAAGCACGCGCGACGGAAGGAGAAGCGCCAGCGTGAGTTTGACGAGCGCTTGGTTGCAAAACTCAATCCCGGGTTGGGCAACAAGTACGAGAAGAAGAAGATGCTTGAGAGCATTGCAAGTGCCAAGAACATTACGACGGGCAAGCAGATCAAGGGGTCTTCCAAGCAGTTTTCCAACTCGAAGGAGTTCTTCTCCCGTCTGCAGGTACGGACCGTGCTCGACGCTTCTGATTTTTGTGTCTTTCGCGTGTCTACGACCCATATGGGTACACAAGCGGCAGCTGACGTGCTGATCTTATTCGCTTGTGTTTATCTTCCAGGACGAGGTGCAAGCAAAAATCAGGAATGCCAGCAGCAACGAGTAGCAGTCTCGCAGCGGGAAAGAGTGATATGCCGCAGGGATGGTGTAATAGAAATGGATTGTGTGCACATTGGTACGTGCAGGCGTCTTGAGAGCTAATGCGGGTCCTCCTGCATGCCATGCTCGACGCTGCCGAGGCTTCGGTTGCAATTTGTATTGTGGTCGATGGAGCGCGATGCCCCTCCCTTGGTGGTGGTATTGCTACAGCTTGGAGTCCCTGTATTTCTCTGACGGGTGATATGGAAGAGTCTCGCAGACAAAGTCCAGTGACTTTGCCCTCTTTTTTCTCTGGATTGTTATAGAGGGACAATCTGGTCGGAAAAATCCCTTTTTGCACGGTTTTTGCACGGAGATGTAAATGAGATTTCATCTTTTTCGCATCGACCTTATTTTGGGCAGTTGCGCTCGCGCCACATGGCATTGGCATGATCGATTGAGTTTCGTCTGTGTTAACCGTAAGCTCCGCTCTCTCGTTTGTGTGAACAAACCGCAGTTGCCCCGATAGCGCAGGTGCAATGCGCGCTATCTCGTCTGACTACACTGTGCTACCGAGGACAGATACACATGCATCCCATTCGGTCGTGCGCGAAAGGAGTCGGAGTAGTTGACGGCGAAAGTACAATCAAATAGTGCCAAGGCTCTGTGTGCAGCCAGAGCGCGAGGCAACGTCCAGGAAAAACATGCGGCAACCTTTGCTGTTGTCCGGCGGCAGTCGCGCGAGAGTTGGTACTTGACCGGTACAAAAAGTGCTCCGACGGGATCGCCAGACATAAAAAAGCAGACCTCTGGATTGTCTCGTGATATTCGTCCCGAGGAGTTCCTCTGTATTGCAATCGCCGCTCGTGATCCTACCGAATGTTCTTCAAGGACCGCTTTAAGTACGACACCGACAGTTGAAGACCGAAAAGATCGCTTTCCTTTCGTCCGTCACTCTCGAAGTTGCGCGCTCCAGCTCCAACACCTGCCCCCCGACCGACCGACCGACCGACCAACCGACCGATTGACCGGTCGCTTCCATTCTCCTCTTCTTCCTCTGCCACGATGCAAATGAACACGAGCGAAAAGGACATGGACGGCGTCAGCCTCCGGGGGGAAACCGACGGCGTATACGGCCACCCGCTCATGTGTGCGAACCTGCCGTTCGACGTGTTCCCGCAGCACTCGGTGCCTGCGCGCGTGGCGCACCAGCTCATCAAGGACGAGCTGTCGCTGGACGGCAACCCCAAGATGAACTTGGCGTCGTTCGTCACGACGTACATGGAGCCCGAGGCCGAAGACTTGATGGTCCAAGGGCTGCGCAAGAACTACATTGACCTGGACCAGTACCCCCAGACCGCCGAGATCCACAATCGCTGCGTGACAATGCTGGCGAATCTCTACCACGCGCCGATCGAGCCGGGCCAGAAAGCCACGGGCACAGGCTGCATTGGCTCGTCCGAGGCCATTATGCTGGCCGGGCTCGCGATGAAGTGGCAGTGGAAGGCGCGCCGCATTGCGGCTGGCTTGCCTTTCGACAAGCCCAACATGGTCTTTGGCTCGAACGTGCAAGTGTGCTGGCACAAGATGTGCAAGTACTTTGAGATTGAGAACCGCGAAGCCGACGTGTCGCCCGACTGCCTCGTGCTCACGGCAGAGCGTGCGCAGCCGCTCATTGACGAGAACACGATCGGCGTCTGCGCGATCCTCGGCAGCACGTTCAACGGCGAGTACGAAGACGTCAAGGCGATTCACGACATGGTCGTGGCTGTGAACGAGGCCAACGGGTGGAAGGTGCCCGTGCATGTGGATGCCGCCAGCGGTGGCTTTATTGCGCCGTTCATCGACCCAGAGCTCGAGTGGGACTTTCGCCTGCCGAACGTCAAGAGCATCAACGTCAGCGGCCACAAGTTTGGACTAGTGTACGCTGGCATGGGCTGGGCTCTGTGGCGCGAGCCGGAAGACCTCCCGGACGACCTGGTGTTTCACGTGAACTACTTGGGCGGCGACCAGGCGTCGTTCACGCTCAACTTCTCCAAGGGCGCAGGCAACGTGGTGGCGCAGTACTACAACATGCTGCGGTTTGGCTTTGACGGATATCGCCTTATCATGGAGGCGAGCATGAAGAACGCGCAGCTGCTGCGTGGCGCGCTCGTGGCAACTGGCCACTTTCGTATTGTCGACAAGCAGCACATGCCGCTTGTGGCGTTCACGCTGCTTGACTCGTCGCGCTACTCGTGCTTCGACATCCAAGACAAGCTCAGGAGTCGCGGATGGATTGTGCCGGCGTACACGTGCTCGCAAGGCGCTGAGTCGCTCGTGATCATGCGTGTGGTCGTGAAGCAGAACTTTTCCTCGCACATGGCGAACATGCTGGTGCAAGACATTTTGAAGGCCATTGAGGGGCTGGAGAAGCACCACGTGCTGGTGGACACGGCCATGTCGTCACCCAAGGCCCAGAAGAAGCACTTTAAGGACATTGTGCACACTTTCCAGACCAACCTCAAGCACCAGAAGTCGGGCCTCACGACGCACGGTGTGTGCTAGTTGCACCGGCAACAACTCGCGCTCGAGTGTGTTTGATACGTGAGCACGTGTTGCACGCAGCTGTTGAGCTCTTCGTGTTTCTAGCTGGAAGACGTGGGTTACCTGGAGAGCGAACGACCTGTCATTGACTATAAAGACTAATTACTTGCAAATGTTCGCCTGTATGTGCTTTTGCTGCGTGCTTCGAGGACTCATCCTCGTGTCTTGGTTGAATCATGCGTATCTTCTTCTGGACGTGAGCTGTGGTGCGTATACAGGCAAAGGGCAACGTATCGTGCGAGGAAGGGTATGACCGTCGACACCGCTTTGAGGAATAAATCAGGGAAGTAAATGTCCCCACAAAGGCCTGAAGCGTGTAAGTACCGCGCAATAATGACTGGGTGCAAACGAATGCCAACCGGTCAATTGCGCGATGTTCAGGGCCTCATATGGGGATGCCGTATCTGCGGCTTTGCCGATCCACTTTGCAGACGACGTCTCGTTGACACTTCACTCGGCAGCACTTCGCGTACCGATGAATCGCCGCCGGCGAAAAGACATGAGTTTTTGTTGATGCGTCAACGTTGATGTCGCAGCTTGCTCGATCGATGTCACCCGTCGTCAAGCAAAACACACGCTCTTCGCACGCTTTTTGCAAGCCTCAGTCTCTTGATGAGGTGTTCGTAGGTATGCGAGTAGGACAGGCGATCTAGAGAGGCGCATCCGACGCAACATGGACTGCTCAGAGCGTGATGGATCCGTGCGACTGGAGAGCAGCTACATCAGAATCGACTTCATGCATCGAGCTTTCATTCTTCAGCCAAAGTCTATGCAGAATCAAAGGAATCGTACACGATGTTCTGGATGATATGCTACGTGGCCGTGACCGTGTGGGGTCTCCTGGACGCTCGCAGAAGCGCTTTCGACAGACGGACTCACATTCGTCAACACCTGTGTCGCAAGGACTTCAGATCACCAGAAAAAAACATGCCACGTGTACAGCTCACTTTCGTGTCGAAGATCGGGCTTCTTGACAACACGATGTGTCCATGCAGCTTCTTTTTGCAGCTATAGTTGGCACACACACTCCATCATCTTCTGCTTGCTCGCTCTCGTCCCGCATTGCCAACTCCTTTGCCAACGCTGCTTCATCGCTGACTTGCAGAGGTCAGACTTTACAGGTCAATTGCTTAGGATCATCGTTGTCGACAGCCTCGCGCTCCCGGAAACGAGTGCACTGTTCAACGAGGTTTGCCGCCACTTGTACGACCAGATAAAGCAATGGCGGCGTATTCTGTCGACACCACATAGACTGACTACCTACCACTCGCGTAACAACATGCGTCAATGAGGACGCTCACTTGGAGAAGAGCGCCAAAACATGATACGCACATCGCGACTGCCATCGATCGCTCCAACGCGGCGCTCCTCTCGCCGTACTTTGCAAAGCCAACTCTCGTCACGACAAGACCGTAGCAACAAACGCCAATGAACGACAACATCTACGACCTGTTCGTCCAAAGCGTCACGAAGTCAAACCATCTGCGATGCCCCCGACAAGGGCGCGAAGGTATGACATCCGTCATACAAGTCAACAGTCGACGCTTTGTATGCGAATCAGTGACGCAATAGGCGGCCTACGGTCTTCTACGAGGACTGGCAATGCCTGCATCGACTATAAGCGAAACGTCGTGCTTGTGGCTTCATATAGTCACGCCACAAGCAGCAAAACGTCGGATACAATAGAGCTCCACGGCTCACCCGGCATAACCGATAGATACTCGACTCGTCCCACGATCACAGGCTCGTTGCAACATGTGTGGGCGGTCACGGTGCACACTAACGCGCCAGCAGGCAGCAGAAGCGGTCGGCGTCAGTCCGGAGGAGTTTGTCGATGGCGACAACTGTGCGATATGAAGCAATGGAGTGCTCTGTAGCTCAGTGACTTGTGCGCTATCGACATATCGGCGGGACTTTTTGATCGCTTACACTACTGTCTGTGGGTGATCTGTAGACAACCCGGTGGAGAATATGGGGCCAGGCAGATACGGACCAGTGCTTTTGCAATACGGTGGAGCAAAGAGGAGCAGCGATGCGAAACCAAAGACACGGCTGCAGGCCATGCGGGTACGTGCTGCTGTCGAGAACATACGGTCACTTGCATGGGTTTCGGACGTATCGAGTCGACGACTGATCTACTTTCTGCGTTTGTAGTGGGGACTCGTTCCGTCGTTCACGAAGGCTGGTGCAAAGCCAGATCATTTTCTGATGTTTAATGCCAGGTACATACAGATATGGCGGTGGTGAGTCGGTTTGTGGGATACAATAGCTGGTGTAATGGTCGTGGGTGCTGTTGTGTGCCAGGTCCGAGAGTCTACAGGAAAGACCTGCTTTTAAGAGACTAGTGGACTCGAAGAGATGTGCGGTGGTGTGTGAAGGGTGAGCAGCTGTGTATTTGATCCTCGCACTTGGCTTGTTCAATCTGACGGGTCTGTGTAGCTACTACGAGTGGCACCAAGTCGATAAACGAGAAAAACAGCCATACTACTTTTACCGAGAGAGCAGTCCGATGAAAGTAAGCAAGCAGCTGCAGGTGACTGCGTGTTGTTGCAAGGGGTCTCATGACTTGGCAATCGAATCCTCTGTGTAGTTTGCTGGTCTGTACGACTGCTGGAAAAACGAGGAAGGCAAGGTGATGTACACTTATACGATCCTCACGACATCGGTTGCACCAGAGATAAAGTGGTTGCACAACCGAATGCCGGTAAGTTGTGTGCAGCAACAGCTCGTAGACCAACTCGTGATACTTGTGGCTGCACGATGCTCCTCGCTTGACGTTTGGCGCAATTGACTAGGTCATTCTGTCGGATGAAGACGCTGATCGGTGGCTTTCGCGCGCAAAACTGGAAGACCTCACAAGTTTGCTGCAGCCATACCAAGGCGACGACTTGAAGTGGCACCCTGTGGATAAGAAAGGTAAGCGTACTGCCGCTGTCTACTGCTGTGCTGTCGCCTGCCTCACAATGTCGTTTGCAGTTGGATCAACGCGGTTTCAAGGTGAAGAATGTGCCAAGCCAGTCGACATTAAGCATGCAGGTACATTACGCAGCCATAGTTGATGCACGATCTGGTGCCTGAGACGTTGTGCGTTTTGTTAGCCGACATCAAGTCGTTCTTCGGGGTCAAGACTGAGAAGCCAGCGGCTTTGGCTTCGGTTGGTGCAGTACCAATTACACCCGACAAGACGGAAGAGATACCAAACAGCGAGACGGTCTCCAGTCTTTCGATCAAGAACGAAGAGCGCGAAGCTGGTTCCGACACGAGGTTGGCCAAGCAGGATCAGCGCTTTTCCACCAAATTTGTGCCGGCCTCATCGCTCGTTGACAAGACCTTTGATGATGATGATGATGACAACAATGCAAACGACTCGTTTCGATCCGAAGAGCTGAACCAAAAGCGCCGTCGTGTGTCGCATCCGCCACCAACTGAAAAGACGCCAACGAACAAGTCTCCGGCCAAGTTGAAGACGTTGCCAGGCCCGAAGCAATCGTCGCTCGACTTTTTTTCGCAAAGGGTAGCAGTCGGACGGGTATGTATAGTAAATAGTGTGTACAGAGTTGTTTTTGTGCCCAGTGCTTCGTCAATGGTGTAGATAGCGATCATAGCGCGCTTTATCGCGTATCCGGTTCGTACTCGCAGCCGGGAACAAACGCAACTTTGACTTCAGCAACAGATATGCACGCACGACGCGATGCGATGGGCCGTTACTTGTCCAAACACGTGTAATCTTTGCTTTCGTAGGCCAGCAGAGCCTTATCGACCACATACTGTTGACAGATACGCAAGACGCACCTCAAGTGAATATGTAATGGACAAGTGCGTGACTGGTGTGCTGATGGTCGATCGGCAACAGCTAAAAGCGGTGCGTTTCTTGACTCACTCAGTGATTAATGTCGTCGACATGGAGAAGCATCGAAGATCGACTCCGAACAGCTTTCAAGAATTCCGTGCGCTTTGTAAGTGTACACATAGAAGCACAACCTGAAACTCGAGTCGATGTAAAAGCAAAGCGAAGGAACTGATAGTGAGGTCTCGTGTTTACTCAATTTGCCATAGTAGTGGCATGTAGACGTCCAGCTCGTTGCTCTCGGAGCTGCGTTTGCGTTGTGCTGTACCATTCCATACCCTGTCGAATACGTTACAACAGACAACAACTTGTCGCTCGTATTTGATACATCCACGGTCAAGTCCATACATAGCGCGGCGCACATCCTCATCGTTGTCAGTGTCCCCACTCTCTCAGCTGCGTCCCGTGCGCTCGCTCTTCGCCCGTGTGTCCAACCAGCGTCTGTACACACACACTATCTCTCTTGCTCTGCGTCTTGCGCATCTGCTCGTGCAACATCGAGTGCCAGCACTGCAGTATTCACGTCGCTAGGAGCTTTCGCGCAGGTCCACAGCCATTATGGAGATGAACAAGGGGGAGGCCGAGAAGTGCCTCGAGATTGGCAAGAAGTACCTGCGTCTCGGCAATTGGAACCAGGCCATCAAGTTCCTGGAAAAGTCGCTCCGCCTGTATCCATTGCCGGGCGTCGAGATGATACGCCGTCGAGCCAAGACCGAGCTGGAAAAGGCCTCGAGGGCCCGTGCACCGCCAACGTCGCCACGTGGCAGCACGTCAAGTGCCGGGATGCGGCATCGAGCAGCGCCAGCAGCCGCGTCGCCGTCCAGATCTCCATCAACGGAGTCGCTGCGGCCGTATACAGCGGAGCAGCTGCAAGTGGTGCGCAAGATCAAGGCGTGCAAGACGCACTATGAGGTGCTGGCCGTGCCGCAAAGTGCGACAGAGAATGACGTGAAAAAGGCGTATCGCAAGGTAAGATGAGCGAGAAAGGGAGCGTGCCTGGTTTGCGCCAGGGTCTTGACGTCATGCGTGTGTTGTGTGTGTGTTGTTTGTTCGCTTTGGGGTGGGTGCGGTCGTGTAGTTGGCGTTGAAGCTGCATCCGGACAAGAATAGCGCACCTGGCGCCGAGGATGCGTTCAAAGCTGTTGGCAAAGCGTTTACGATCTTGAGCGACCCAGACAAGCGTGCACATTATGACCGCTATGGAGACGATGCGCCTGTGCAGCAACAGCAACAGCAAGGACAGGGATACGCACAGGGTGATGACATTACACCGGAAGACCTGTTCAACATATTTTTTGGTGGCGGTTACCGTCCACGTGGACGTCGACCTGCACCGCCGCAAGGTCCTCGACCCCAGCAGCGCCACCCGCAGCACCCGCAGCAGCAGGAGGCCCGTGGCGGCATGATGAATCTCGTGCAGTTCCTGCCGCTGTTGCTGATCTTCCTCATGTCATTGCTGTCGATGCCGTCGAGACCAGAGGTGCCGTTCAGCTTGAACCCGACGCAGCAGTTCCACGTGCACCGCTCGACGCAAATGGCCAACGTGGTGAAGGGCATCCCGTATTACGTCGAGCGCGATTTCGAACAGCGGTATACGACGCACTGGCGCGAGTTGTCACGAGTGGAACAAATGGTCGAGCAGGCGCACGTGTCACGGCTCGCCGAGAGTTGTGAGAACCTCAAGCTGCGACAGAAACGGATGCTCTACCGCGCGCGCAACTCCCGTAGTGACGATCGCGAGTCTGCCATGCGAAAAGCACTAGAGATGAAGATGCCGCCGTGTGACGAGCTGCGCAGGTTCCGTCAAACGCGGCGCTATTGACCACGACACAAAAGCAGCAGATATGTACTAGTCAGGCCATGCGGCTTAGAGGACAGGAACGAAGCGCAAGAGAGAGAGAGAATGGGGATATCGGTCACGCGCTTTGCTCCAGGATAGGGCACTAGAAGGTGAAGACAACAAGTCAATGCAGGACACATACACGAGCCGAGTCAGTGTCTGTTGTGTGTCAGCATATCAATCGACATCCTCCATTCATACACAAACGGCTGGCGCGACTCGATGAGTCTCGACATCGCCTTTTTACGAGAATGTCCAAGCTCTTTCTGTAAAAAGCACATTTGTTGCCGTGACTGGCCAAGCTCTATATTTGTCGAAAAAGCACGTTTGGCTTCTTCCTTCCGGTATCCGTCGATCAAACGACGCGCTCAACCGGTACGCTGCGGTACAAACGTACCCTCCGCCGGCCTTCGCGACAGTATCGCACTGAAAACTTTGGGACAAAAACGAGGAGAGCACATGACGACGAACGAACTGGCGGCGGTACTCGCGCGACGCCGCGCAAAGGCCGGCGGTGAGAGCGAATCGGCGGCGTCTACTGCTGCAGTCGAACCGAGCGCTCCTCCAGCTGCTAAGACGGTGTCGTCGTCCGCGAAGAGCTCTATCGCCGAACGAATTGCGCGTCTGAAACAGCAGAGCGCCGCCGCGAGCGCTGCAGAAGAAGCGGCTCGTGGGCCACAGTTGAGCCAATCAGCGCCACCGATGGCATCGTCCGGGCGGACGGGGCAAGATGAAAGTATGGGCGCTGCTGCTGCTGCAGAGACCTCCTCGGAGGTCGGGGGGACGTCGGCTGTAGCTGCTGCTCAAGAGGCAGCTGGACTGCGTCGAGCGTCGAGCAAGATCCAGCAGCTCCAGGGCAGTCTGGGGATCAATGTCAATCCGTTCGGGCGTCGAGCGGGACCGGTGAAAAGCGGGGGCACTGCTCAGTCGGTCAGTTATCAACGAGAGTCGATCATGAGCACTGGCGAGGAGCAATATGGACACACGAAACATGCTATGGGCGTTGCGATGCCGGGCATGATGGGGTCGGCGATCCCGATGCCTGGGCTGGCAAAGCGGGAGTTCCGTCTCCCTGGAATGGGTCCAGAAGGCGAACACAGCGCTGAGGCTGCGAGTGCAGCGCTGGACAATTCACATGTACGTTTGTTGTTTGGTGGCCCGGATAGCAGATGATTGGATGGGATACTAATGGACATGTGATGCTGCAGACGACAATGAACCGTGTGGCAGGACCGAAGCGTCGTGGTCCGATGCGACCACCACCTGGGGCTTTCCGGATTCCGGTGCGCGCAATGTGACTTGATGTTACACGGTGAAGACGACATGTATTGCTGACCTCGTTTTTTGTTTCTTTCGCAGGCGATCGCAGCGCCTAGAGCGAACGATGTCGAGCCTAGTGAAGTGCTTGCAGCTGAGCCTGCTGTCGTTGCGCCATCGACTCAGGTTGCAAAGCCGGAGGCTCGTGAAGACGTAGCGATGCGATCACTGCCAGCGCCTCTATCTCCGGAACGTGCTCGTAGTCCAGCGACAGTGTACGCACCCGTGTCAACGCCCACTCCCGTTCGTGCGCCAGCTCCTGCGGCCGCAGCGACGTTGCAGAAGCTACCGGAGCCCGAGCCATTGCCACCGATGAAACCCTACGAGATCCAAGACGATCCGTTTGCGCCAATATACGAGGCCCCCGCTGAGGTACCCGATGCACCTGCTGGATTCCCCAGTGCGTTGATGGCGAATTTCTCCATGGACGAGCTTGTAGTCACGGACGAGCCAAAGCCGAAACCAGCAACACTGTCGAGCTCGCATGTGACCCCTCCTTCGTCGTTGTTTGGAGCGACCAGTGGACCCGTACCGGTGTCAGAGGCTGAGCCGATGCTGTTCGCACCAGCGCCCGCCGAACCGGTCAAGTCTCCCCTACCAGCACCTGCAGTTGCAACGCCTGCTCCGATCCTCGACCAGCCCGCTTCTCCGACAGTTGCTACGCCTGCTCCGGTTCTCGAGCGACCTGTTTCTCCGATCCCGGTACCTGTGCCATCTCCAGCGGTGTCTTTGCCGGCACCGACGCCCGCGCCGTCTCCTGCACCCGTGTTTGTACCGACCGCAACTCCATTGGCAGCAACACCTGTCTACACACCAGAGCCCGCACCTGTATTGACCCCTACGCCAGCCGTAGCCTCAGCACCAGCAACGAGTTCGTTACTGTTCGGCACTGCTACTTCGGCAGCCTCGGCGGATGACGACTCGAGCGAGAGCGACTGGAGCGATGACGATGACAATGATGACGACAACGCTGGCCAGTCGTTGTTTGGGCGGCAAACTACAGCCGCGAAACCGGAGGTGCTGAGCCCAGCCCCGACTTTTGTGACGCCGACACAGTCTACTCCGGAGCTCCATCAGGCCCCGGCGCTGAGCAGCACCAACCTCTTTGGAGATCCATCCAGCACGCCAGTGTCTGTGCCTGCTACTGCTGCCGCAACGGGATCGGCGCAGACTACACGTCCGACTGCCATTCCTCCAGCACCCTATAGCTCGCTCTTCGGTGGGGCTGCTAGCAGCAGTGAAAGCGACAGCGACAGCGACGATGAAGGTGGCCTCTTTGGCACATGAGTGCCGCAAGAGTGACAAGGCTTCTGAACAGAAAGTGACAACGGAATGTGCTACGCGCCATTAGCTCAGGGACATAGAGAGAGGATTGCCCACAAGTCGACAAGCAGCATTGGCTGTCCGTGACACGTCTGCAGCGATTGAACATTGTAGTTTGGATTCATTTGTTTTCAGGTGTGCTTGTCAATGTGCTGCACTGATGGTGTCCGTTCATGTTGTACGTCGACGCGATACGTTCTTCGAGCGTTCTTGCGCTTTCACTGGTGACAGTCGTCTGCACGATAGTATCACGGACCCATACAAACCAGAAACTCTGACAGCGTTTCGGCGCAAACGTCCATTTCAAAAAGCATTGACAATGAGAAGCAGGATTCGGGTTGGAGACAGTTGACTGCGCTACCGATCAAACGCGTTATCGACAGAGCTGAACAACGCATCACCACATCTATCACCGAGCGACAGACGGACGAATGATAAGCAGTCAGCATAGATCGACGTCAATGCGAACTCCACCACCGAGTCACAAATGTCCCTTCTCTCCCTGTCTCTGCGTCTTCCGCATCGCTTTCACTCCCCGTCGATGCGACCCCTCATTCTCTTGCTTGCAACAGGTAGTAGTCGGTCCATATGGACACCCCTACCACTGCTGCGCAGGTGCCATCTTCACCGTGTTGATGTACAGCATGTCTTCGATCTTAAAGTACCGGCCCCAGAAGTAAGCCTTCGAGCCCCCCAACGTGCCCCTGACGCCTTCTGCTGCCACGAGTCGCTGCACTGGCAAATAGGCGGGCGAGTCCGGGTGCAAGAACGTCTTGCGCGAGCGCGCCTTGTTGTACACCAGCATGGGGTGGATGGTGCTCAGCGACTCGTCGGCGTCAGTCGCCACTTGGATCTTGTAAATCTCGCCAAGCGAACCCTCGGCATCGCCGTCTTCGTTCGTGTTCACTCGGATCACTGCTTGGTACGGGAACTCCTGCAACTTGGACGCTGGCTCGTCCAGCTTCACAGGCAGCCACACCATCTCGTCCGACGGCTCTGACCGAGTCTCCACGCCGCCCTCGCGTAGCGACTTGGAATCTCCGCCCACGGTCATGAGCTTCAGCGGCGACTTGTCGCTCTCGTCCATGGGCGAGTTCATGCCCATCTTGTGCATGTAGCGCTTCACGCGCTTGAACGGCACGCGCGCGAACTTGCCGCCATGCGCCACGACGTGGTCGTGTACGCGCTTGACGCCGAACTCGGGATGGGCAAACTTGATGGCCGTAATGAGCGCTGTGAGTTCGTCAGCGTCGGGACTCGATCCAGGAGACGGAGAGGCCGACGCGTGGGCACTGACTCGCTGGTCGGGTGTCTGTGGTGCCGAGCCGCTCTTCCTGCCGCCGGCCATAGCTCGTCGGGATGAGGACGAGTGGAGAAATGCGCTCTTCGACTTGTGTGTGACGGGATAAACTGATTTACTGGCGCAGAGGATGTGCTTGATGGGGATGCTGAAGTAGCGCGAGCCACAGCGCGTTGCGCGATAGCGACCCGTTCTGCGGGTTCAGTGGCACGGGCATGCAGCATACGCGATTTTAGGCGTGGTGAGAACGGCATCAGCACACCATAAGCGGCAAATACAGGATATGCTGATCCGAGGCGTTACACTCGTGCGACTTTCTTCAGCCGCAACGAAGAGATCCTGGCACGACGGAAAGTTTGTTGACGAATGTGTCTGTTTATTCGTTTGCAAAAAAGACCCATTGTAACACACTTGGCCTCGCGCTGAGGTCTGTCTTGTGGGCCGTAGTATACCGAGGAGCTCGGATATTGACAGGCGACATCCGGTTCAGTGCAAAACAGCAGCAGCGGCAGCAGCAGCAGCAGCTTCGACGTGAGTAGACGCTAGGAAGTGGCTCAAGAAAACGGTTTCGACCTGCGACACGTGTTTGTAATACTGTAAGCAATCGTTCCGGTTCGTAAGCACCTCAACGCCCTACATCCGCCTGTAGGTGTGTGCACACGCAACTCGTTTCTCAACGTGGACGACAAACGCCTCGCCGCGTCTATTCAGCCCAACGCGACTGCTCTCAGACGAGAAAAGAAACCAAACGAGCGCCACAGACGTCAGTAGACGGGTCTGTCTGCCGTTTTCGCTACTCTTGCAACTTTTCTATGCGAGCGCCGCATTGCGTCCCTGCAACGTATGGCTGGGCAGCAGCCTACGACCCACAATCGTGTTAGTAGCACCACAGCAGAGCTCGTCGTCTATGTCGTCGTCTGACGTAACGGCGGCTGCAACGTGCAGATCACACGTTATCTGCTGCTGCTGCGCGTAGGCATTAACTGAATCATTGGACTCGCGGCGGACCAGCTGGTCGTGACGAACTGGCTTGACAGCCCGTGCCTAGACTAGGCTGGCGTGTCGATAGGCGATCTCGCAGGTTTAGGCAATGCCGTAGTGTCAAGCGTCGATTGCACAACCGACCGACTCTGGCTCGAGTGAGTAGTGCCTCTGACGTGCGGACTCTCCGCTTAAGTGCCGCCGCCACATCCACATCCACATACCCACGCCAAGTCACGCGACGCTGCTGTGTGTATCCAGTACAAACCCCCACACCACGCAAAAAGACGGCGCGCCAACCAGAGGGCAATCGACGGAGAAGGACCGAGTGGGCGTGCGAGAACACACGAGCGCACGCTGCAACGACACGGAACGTCCGCGTCACTGGACTTACCTGTCTATTCGTCTACACCTCTCTCCCTACGCACCTGTCTATCTGTCGGTGTGTCTACGACCCACTCACCCACCCATTCGTCCATCTATCTATCTATCAATCGGTCTCTCGACTCTCGATAAGCCCATTCACCCACACGTCTTGAGAGAGACCCGCCCGCCCACCCACCCATTTGCTTGCTGTCTCTATTTGAGATAGAGCAGACGCACAGTCATGCCCAAGAACAACTACGGCGATGACGAAGACGACGACGATCTACTGATGGCGCTGCAGAGCATGGAGCCGTGCGGCAATTGCGGGGCCGACGGGGCCAAGATCCCGTGCATGAGCGGCTGTGGCGAGGTCTTTTACTGCTCTCGGGTAGGTCGACGGGGAGGCAGAGTTTGCAGGCACATGGGGGCTGACTGAGTCGTGGTCTGACGCTCGTTGTCGCTCTCTTTCTGTGTGTATTGTGCTGTGCTGTGCTGCGCTGCGTGTGTTTTCTCTGTTGTGTGGACTGTAGGAGTGTAACATGCACCACGCGTCGGCACATCGTCTGCGGTGTCGGAACTTGCGGTGCTCCAAGTTTAACGACTCAGAGTGTAGGTCTACGTTCTGTTATTGCTGCTGCTGCTGCTCCTGGTGGTGGTTAGGGAGAGGTGGAAGGAGCGGGGAAGGGGGTGTTGTTGAATGCACTGACGCTGTCTTGTAATGATGGGCTTCTGCAGCCGACTCGGGGGGATCCGATGACTCTGCAGAGTACGAGACGGACTCGAGTGCCGAGTATGAGACGGACTCGGGCGAAGAAGAGGAGGAGGAAGAGGAGGAAGTGGAGGAAGCCAAGGCCAAGAAGAAGAAGAGCAAGAAGAAAAGCCGGACCAAGTCTCGACGGGTCAACAGCTCACGCAGTGTCGAGTCGTCGAGTAGTGCGATTACGGTAAGGACGCAACAGGAAGCTGCTGCTGCTGCTCGCTGGATGTGGGAACGTCTCTGGACTCACTGTCGTGTTTGTGTTGATTCTCTTTGCAGCGAACGGTCAGCGTAGACGCGGATGTCGAAAAGCGCATTGAAGAAAAGATCTTGCGGCGTCTGAAAAAGCAGGAGGAGGCGCGCATTGCACAGGCAATTGATAACCGCATGCGTGAGGAGAAGGCGAACTGGCGCGACGACGAGATGAACCGCATCATTATGGAAATGCGGGAGCGCTTCCAGAGCGAAGTGACCACGTCGACGTTTTGGACAGCGTTGGCCAAGAAGAACGGACTAGAAATGGACTCGCAGGAGATGCAGACGCTGCAGAAGTCAATGGAACACTCGTTCTTGGCGTCCAACCCACAGTCCGAGGACAAGATGGCTGTGCCGCTTTCTGCCGAAGAGGCTGTTGCGGCTGGAGTTGCTGCGATCGACGGATCTGCCGATACCACTGTTGTCCGCCCGCGCACCACATCGAAAGAGTCATCGTGGAACAACGCTTGTGCAGCGTTTGACGCATTGCGTGTGGTCGTGTGGAAGCACAGTTTTTTGCCTCGTCTACAGTTTTGTGCCGATGACACGTCAGGCATCTGGAATACTGTCACTGGACTGGACGCTGACGAGTCATTTGTGCACGTCTGCGTGGGTGATAAGCTGCTTTCGATCAACGGACGGTCCATTGACGATGCGGTGCAGACAGAGGATGATCTGAATGACGTGTTTGCAGCATATGCGTCGCCGATCATCATGAAGTTTGAGGCAATCGACCCGTCTCCACAAACATGCAAGATACATGACTACACCGTAACGTGGTCGAACGGGCCGCTCGGCGTCACGCTGAAGGATGACTGTGCCACGCAAAAGATTCCGATCGTCAATCGCTTGACCAAGAAGTCAGGATCGGTGGCTGTGAAGCAGAACATCGCTATCGGTGACGTCCTCGTAGCTATCAACAACATCGACACAATTCAGCTTGGCTGCTCGCTTTCCATGTCGATTCTCAAGAAGGTCCAGTTACCTGCTAAGCTCCGATTCCGTGGTATGGGTGGGCCTGCTCAACAACCTGTGGCAGACATGGGATCCGCTCCCGCGGTGCCGCCGCGTAATGTTGTGACCGTTTCACGTGCACCCAGCGCTTCGAAGCAAGAAGGTACGAACGCCTCCATCGATGAGCGCGCGCCGTCGATGATGAATCTCAGCATCAGCATGTCGCGGCCACGCAAGTACTCGGTCAATTGGGGTGAAGGGCCGTTGGGTCTGACGATCATACCTGGGCTGCACGACGGCGATCTTCCAGTCATCAAGAAAGTTACTGGTACGGGTAATTCAGCAGGCATTGACAAAGCGCAGGTGGGTGACGTCTTGGAGAGCATGAACGGGATCAAGGCGGCATCGATGCACTTTGAAGAGGTCGTTTCGTTTTTGAAGACGGCGCCGAAGCCAGTGTTGTTGCGGTTCCGTGCAGCGCTGGATGACGATGATGCGGGAGACTCATATTCGCACCGGAGCAACGGCACGGCACTTTCTACTAGAAGCGATGACAGCAACATAGCAAGTACGCGTTCGGGCCACGACAATGTGCCGGTGCACACGGTCCCTCCTTCACAGCCGACGCCAGTGCCGGCTTCGAGCAACCACGCTACTGAAATCGTGAGGCAAGTGTCGCGCGAGCCACCAAGCGATTTATACAAGGTTGTGTGGGGGTCAGGTCCACTGGGTCTTACAATTGACGCAAAACCAGAAACGGGCGCATTCATCAAGCGCATTGCCTCCCAGGGCGCAGCAGCTCATCTTGCTCAGGACTGCGTCGGCGACGATGTTACCCACGTCAACGACATGGACGTGTCGCGTGTGGCGTTTTCGGACATTGTGGCGCACCTTAAGAACGTGCCACGTCCGGTGACTCTTTTCTTTCGACGCAAGAGCTCCCGTCATCGCTATGAACAACGTGGATCTTGCTCGTCAAACTCTGGTGGGAACTCACCGACACAGCACGCCGCACCTGTTCCCAGTCACAGTCGGAAAGCAGCACTAGTCGCAGCTGGCGATAACCAGGGTTTGCAGTCCTACAGCATTGTGTGGCAAGATGGCACTCCACTTGGTCTTTCGCTGCGTGGCGCTGACGACGGGTGCGAGTACCCTTACATCAGCCGCGTTGCGGGCACAGGATGTGCAGCGCATTTGCCGCAGTCTGTGGTGAATGACCCCTTGATCTCAGTCGACGGTCGCAGCGTGCACGTTCGCGACAGATCGTTCGAGGAGGTCATGACATTGCTCAAGGTGATGCCGAAACCCCTGACACTGAAGTTCCAGACACGAAATGCGGGTGGCACGCAGCCCCGTGCTCCAACGCCAACGCCAGCACCCACGCCGCCAGCACTGGCACCACCTCCGCAGCATCAACGTCGGGCACCTTCACCGTCGCCACCACCACCCCAGTCGCAGCCGCAACAAACCCAGCAGCGAAAGGTGGTAAAGTCGCAAGACTCGTACACATGGCGGCAGAATCGGGCTTCTCCGCCACCCCAATCTACGCCTGCCCATCAGCCCGTAGTGCAGTCGTGTACCGCGGGCTCGTCGGTCCCCGGTGGAAACGGCACGCGTGGGCACAATAGTAACAATCTCAGTAGGAGCTTCTTAACGAGCGGCAGCGACCGCGGCCTTAACGCTGGCGCGGCGTCGGGCAACGAGGAGAAGTTCAGCAGCATTCAAGCACCCTTCCTCGTGCAGAACAAGCTCTCGACCGGCCGCCGGCAAAAGATGCTCAAGGGTCTCAAGAAGTAGAAGAGCGCACACCATGCCGAGATGACTTGGCCCTTTCCAGCCTTTGGACGGTCGTGCGAGATGTTAATAACGATGCGTTGGAAGGGCTGGAGAGCGGACGGGCACGGTGCGAAGAGGAAGGAGAACAAATATCTTACAGGGAAGACTGAAGACATCAGCACGACAAGCGACAGTGATACAGGAAAGTACAAGCATTGGGACTCGAGATGGCAGCAAACATAAACATCCTACAAGGACGACTGAAGGCATGAGCACAAGAAGCGATCTGAGAAGCACGAGCCATGCAGCTCGAGATGGCGGCAAGCATGACAGCGCAGTATTGTAAGCACTCGTCGTCCTGCTAGAGGCTCAACAAACGTGTACGAGGGGCCATCTCGCGCTGCTCAATGAAGACGGATGAGGAGTAACGTCAATGCGTTTTTGCATCTTTTGTAGTGTGTTGCATGGCTGAATGCTTCGCAGTCGTCCGGCTCGAGTACGTGGCAGTAGTTTGTGTCGTTGATTGCGGCCTCTGGCCGCTTGCAGTGACAGCGGTCGTACTGCGAAAACACTTGTGGTACGACGTGGTCGAAAGTCTCACCCGGTTTGTCGAGTGGGCAGCAGTAACAAATGCGACAACCGTTTGGTGTTACCACCGCATACTTTGCCACGCTTTTATTCCACTAACGTGCTGTTCTGCTGCTCGGAGACACGATCGACTCTATGTGTCATGTTGTCGCGTTCTGTGCTCAAGAAGTACCAGAAGGGTCTTTGGAATGTTTCGAAGATGTTCCTGCAAGGGCAAAATACAATTTAGGGGACGAAACTAAGCTGAAGTTCCCTGCTTTTGCCTGCGGGCTTTTAAGTGTGCAACGGTGTATTGCCGAGCGTTGTTGGAGTCGCTTTTGACTACCATTGAAGCTCATTGTTCAAAAGCTAGTAGACCTGAGGCAACAAGTGGTCGTGGGGTTTCTTGCCACCACCAGTCACTATGTCAATCAATGCAGATGACACAGCGTTGATACATCTCGGGGAAGCACTGTCCGGTCAAGTAGCGTTTGCGTGCGCGAGAGGAATTTGGCTGCAGTAAATGGAGGGCTGAAGTCAAAGCTGCACTAGACGATGATGAATGAAGTGTGCAAGGTATTAGGGATATGCGATTGACGGTATATCAGCACCGAGAGTCTGGAGATCTATCGTTTCTACGTTGCGATGTCATGAGGTATAGCAACGCCTATGAAGGGAGATTTTTAAAATCGCTCGTATGTTACAAGACTACATCCGTTCCAACTCTTTTTTCCCTCTTGCTCGCACGTGCATGAGTATGCTTTGCCACGGCCTTCATCTATGCTACACCTTCTTTTTCTTTGCAGGTCCAGCGGCATCGCTCTCGACCGATCCTGTCTTTTCAGTCTTTTCGTGTCCACGTTTCGCAGGATCCACGTCCTCCTCAGCCGCTGGTGTCCCGTTCGATCCTTTTTTGGCCTTTGCTGCCAGGCGACCCACCTTGAGCACATACGCGTCCATCCGAAACTTACGCTTGAGGCCAACCTCGTTCATGTAGCGCACTTTGCCAAATATGGGACGTTCCCGCCAGCCTTGATCATGTTTTCCAAAGACCCAGGCCACGCCAGCGTACGAGTTCGTATCGGGTGCATCCAAGGCGTACTTGTTATTCAGGACCAATGCGGCGTGAAACCCTTCGTCAGGAGTCCGTGTCCATTCCAGCAGCTTCTTGCCCCAGTACATGCGCATGTAGCCGTGCATCTTGCCAGACACTACTAGTTCGCGCTGGGCTGCATTCCAGAACCTGTCGCCTGTTTGGAACGACTCGAGTTGCTCACGCGAATAGAGCTGGTCACGCTTGTCGTTGGCGTGCTCTTGCAGCGTGATCTGCGCGTATTTCGGGAGACATCGGATCGAGTCGTAATTGTCTTGATTGTAGACCACGAGGTTCACTGAGAGCTCACGGCGCACAATGAGCTCCTCCAAGAACGAATTCAGTCCTTCTTTCGCGCGCGTCACGCCTTTGAGTTTGTGTGCAGCCAGCACAACACGAACGACACAAATGTGTCCATGGCGGAGATAAAGGCTCAAGTCGCTACTAGCGTCTAGACTCGGCTCGTTCCGTTGCGTCGCATAGTCGGCGAGTTTGTCTGGCGTGAGGAACTTTTTGGCACAGGCCGACGCCGCGGCCTCGCCTCCGCGAAAGCACCAGTCCACGCTCTTGACATTGCGGTCAACATCCAGCAGCGCCAATGTATCCGCAACAGCTTCCGCGCTCGTCACGTCCAGTAGCTTTAGCTGCTCGGGCTTGTCAAGCACACTCAGCAGCGACTTTCCCTCGGTTCGACACGGCTGCTCGAGCGTCAAGCTCTCCAAAGGCACGACAAAGCGGTCCAAGTGCTTTGTGATCTTGGAACGGATCGTACGTGCAGCGTACTCTTCCTTGTTCGACGCAACGTCAGCCGGGACAACAACTTCGCCTTCCACCTGCACAAGACCAAACCCAGCAGCACTCGCGTGGCCCGCATCGTCAGCATCGTGTTCCTCCCCTCCTTCTCCTCCCCTCTCTTCCAGAGACGATACCAGAGCGTCCAGTGACGAGCGCCATGGACGCAAATACGGGCGATCCGTCACCACAAGTGCAGCGTGACGAGCACACGTCTCGAGCAGCTCCTGACGAGTGCAGCCACGTCCCTTGGTCTCGTCTTGCTGCTTCTGCTGCTCCTGGTCCTGCTTCTGCTTCTGATGGGTATGGTGGAAGACGTCAAAGCTCATGCCACGACTCGCAAGGCGTTGGTAGGCGTCGGTCAGCCCCTGGAGCGCAAAGTGCGCGTGGCGTTCCGTGACGAACGCATGGGCACTCGCGTCTTGGAGCGCTTCGGCCTTCCACTCGTCTTCGGAATCGCTCGACTTGGGCAGCGGCGGCAGGACAGACCGGTCGGGGAAGAGGTACACCACGTGGAGCGGCAGCTCAAGTTGGTTGGCCGCAGCGACGGCGTACTCGAGCGCGTAGTTGTGTTTCGTGCGCACGGCGGTCTGCATCCAGTAGAGTAAGTAGCCGCCACGAGGGAGCGACGCGGGTCCTCTATAGAGCCACTGGATGCGTTCGTGGTGTAGTCCCTTGGGCAGCTGAAGCTTCTCGAGCGCTCGATAGACGTTCACCATTGCAAGTGGATCGGATATTTGTTTGGTTGGGGTTCGTACGATTGTGGACTGACTGATGGATAACTTGTTGATCGACTGAGTAGTTGATCGATTGAGTAGTTGATTTTGTTGGCCGACTGATTGATTCGCTACTGGCGAGTTGGCGGTGGACAAGTGGCGACTCGGAAGCGGTTACGGTATTATTTGCTGCATTGCATGTGAAAAGTCGAGCTGGGATCTGGGATCGTGGGGTCTTACGAACTCGATCCGTCCGTGCAACCGAAACGAGATGATGGGTTAGTCGTTTTCATGCAACCGCTCGAAAAAAAAACGAGTGTCTCTCTCCTTGTTGATCGATACTCGCGATCGGCGTTGCTAGTCTACTTGAAGCCTGTCGTTTCGACAGCGATCGACAAGTTGGCTCCCAGCTTTTGCGATCAAACCCTGCTGTAACGTTCCTTGGTTTTCGCTTCGCCCACGTCTATTCTGATGCAAACAAGCGACACCCACGACAAAATGCATCCGAACTGGCCAAAGCGCTTGACAACATCTTGCAGAACTATCGTCACTGCATTGCGTCAGCGTTAGCTAGTTTCTGTACGAATAGAATAGACCCTTTGATATACATGCTGCCCATGCCACGTGACCATGGCGCCCTTGCTCGTTTGTGTTTCTGGAACGGCGCAGCTACTACTTGGCGCAGCAGCGCTGCATGTTGTGCCTGCTTTCGTTTTTACGTCATGGTATCGCTCCGAGCACGCACATAGGCGACAGAAATCAGTCCATAGAAGCCCGCAAAGGTGACGACCGCCGTCAAAGTGTCCTTGTCATCATCATCCACATGTCGACGGCGATTCCCAGTCGGCGGCGGCCATCAATTTGCATGGCTAGGCCGACAACTTGTTCAGGTCAGATTGTGGTAGGCGCCTTTTGCTGCCAGGCGCCCCCCGCACGCCCGCAAGCATACATCTATTACCACTTGACACTTCTTGTCAACAACGCTACGCTTCACTCCCGAGACTTGCGGCAGCTATGTCTTCATCTAACGGACCATGTCCTGCAGCTGGCGGCCGATCAAATAGCGCTCATTGCGAATCGACTCGCTCAGGTCTGACAGCCATTGGGCGACGTGCGAGTGCAAGCGGACCAGCACAAACACCGCGCCGACCCAGAACGCGCACGTGGCAAATGCTGTTTTCTCGTAGCTGGCTCTCTCAGAGGACACGACCAGCAAAACTACCGAGGACAACAGCCACGGCAGCACTAGCATTCCAACTAGGAACGCCACCATGGGCAACAATACTTTCTTCTGAAAATATACCACGTCGAAACACTTCTCCCGAATGTTATCTTGACGAAGCCGCATCGCTTCACTTTCGTGGACTGTCACGTTGAACAGGAGTTGACGATAAGACTTTCGTAAAGCAGTAATGAAGCCCACCGATTCAGCAGCAGCGGCACCGGCCATAGCAGCGCCCTCCTCATGCATCAATCTCTCTTCTTCTTCCAACTCGTCGTCATTCAACTCGTCTTCAAACAGCTCGTTCTCTTCGTCTACGTCCAGGAATCCATCTTCGCCTGGTACGAGCTCGTCTAGGGCTGCTTGGCGCTCCAGTCGGCGTCCATTGATGCGCTTCGTTCGAAAGCAGCAAACCAGCCACGCAAGCAGGTTGAGCACCAAATAGCCCGTCAACAGACTTTCCACAGTTGTAGCGTTTGCGCTCGCAACGCACAAAGACATTAACTCGCCCAGGAGAAGTGGACATACAAACGACCAGCCCACGGCACAAATCACAGCGTTTGCGGGCGTCATGTTACGGACGGAGTACCCGCGTCGGACCAAAGACTGATCCACGCGGTCTTCCGGAAGCATCAGAATGTTCAGCGTATGAACGCTCTTTACAATATACCAGACTATTTGCACACCCGCTGCCATCACGAGCGGGTCATGGCTGATACCAGTCACACGCTCAAACGGACCCATGCAAACCCGCCCAATGTAGAGTGATCCAAACAAAAACGTTCCAATCACGATGACGCAAACTGCCCACATAAACAATGCCAATCCAGCGAGTCGAACCCAAAGACAAGATGGCCTCGCTCTCGGAAGCAGCGGATACTCGACGGGTTGCGAATCATCCAACCCATCCTCGGGCCACGGCAAGTATCGATGACCATCGACACGCAGTTGTTCAGGAGGCAGTTGTGCGCGCGGGTGGAAGTGAAGAGGCGGTGGTGGCAGAACCACGACCTTTGACTCACGCTGGCCGTTTGCGACAAACTCCAACTCAGTTTGTGGCAGCAGATACTCCACCAGACCCAACCTCTTGCTTGCAAACACAATTCCGAGATGTTGGAACTTGCCAACGGCGTTCTTTGCGTGCTCCAACACGCTCAGCACAACTACGTGAGCTACAAACAGCTCCAGCGGCACTTGAATTTCCGGGCTAAAGTGCTGAAAGCGAAGCGTCAGCGGGAAGAACGAGGGCACGAGACCGCTTGCAATACGGACAGGAGCGTGCACGAGGACCAGCAGTAGCACGGCATAGATGACGAGCGACAGAATCATACGGCGAGCGTGCTTGACGCACCGCTCACTCAGAAGCGTACGCAGAAGGTCCGGGTGGTCTTCCTGTGGCCGAATAACCTTGGCCAGAATGTCTGGGTGGGCCACTTCTCGCAATTGCAAGACCGACACAGTTACACAAAGCATAAATGTGATGCCCAGCACCCAGTGCACCATCAACGAGCAGATCATATTCTGCATGCAAAACGCAATGCGGTCTTGCGCAGACACCGCGAACAAGTGAAGCGTCGCAAAGTCGATACAGACACCCAGTATGATCGGCAGGATCACCATCTTCAGCAACAACAATGTCGACACCTTCACAATTGCCGTCAAACAGCGCAAAGCCCATAGCAGACCGTCCATGAGAGGACGATGGATGTAGGACGAAGCAGTCCTCACCATAAATCTCCATAGCACGATCGTCAAGCAAATAGACAAATAGCCCATCGTACAAGTGCACAGATCCACAAGCTGCAAGCAGTCGCCTTCTAGCTTGGCCGTCTCAATCGATTGCAGTAGTGTCTTCACGAGAAAAGCACCAACCGACAGATCCTTATCAGCAGCTGATTCCAGTGTAGTGAAAGTGACAAACGCAGCTGGGGCAACTGGTAGCGACGTAACGATTCTGGCACCGGCGGACAGCAAAGTACTACCCAGCGTATACGGGATGAACGCGAACAGGCCGAGGTAAGCACCGTTGAATGCCAGCAGCCACGACACATTGCGAAACAATACAATAAAGTCTCCACGTAGGCCAAGAAGCTCGTCCATTGCAATGTTGATCTCCATGTGCTCAAAGTCATCTTCCCACTCACGCTCGTTTGCGTTTGGTAATTGTGGATGCACGCGGTTCGGTGCGACTCCAGGGACAGCTCCGGGAGCTCCACCAAGTCCTCGCTCGTGTTCCACATCCGGCGCGTCACGCAGCGGTCGACGCTGCCGAAGCTCATGCTGCGGCTCCAGCACCGGATCAACATCTTCAGCAGGAGGCACGTGTCCAAGCTCACGGGGCTGGACAAAAGCATCTGCACCGCGGTCGTCTCGATTCGGACCAGCCCACTCCTCTTCGTCGGACGATTCGTCACCCGAACCAACGTTCTCGTCCACACGGTCCAGCCTCCTGGCGCCCTCAGCCACTGGACGTCCACGTCTCAGCTCTGCTTCTCGTTCATTCTCCATGACATCGTCCAGTACCACACCTCCTCCAAGCGGCGCACGTCGGACGTCCAGTCGTCCATCACGCCGGACAAGATGGCGCTGCTGCTGCTGCTGCAGCACGTCATCTGCTGCCATTTCTTCTTCAATGTGGTCCAAGTGGAACCGCAGAAAGTCAGCAAACGACATGAGCGCCAGGAACGAAAACACAATGCACACGATCAAGATCAGCCCCGAGAACACGTCGGCGACCACGTGCGGCGCGTCAAAGCGCTCGGCAAAGCTGACGTTCACCATGGCCGACGCCCGCAGGAGCCACATGCGGTAGAGCCAGCTCGTGCACCACGGCGTAGCTGCGAGCCACAGCACAAGCACGAGCGCGGCCCGTAGGGCGAACGGCAGCCACTTGAGCAGCACCACGCGCAGGCCCGTGGCCAGCAGCTCTGTCCAGGGCAACACGTCCGGCGCGTCCACGTCGTAGAGCGGCGTGAACGTGAACTCGTGACCGCAGAGCTCGCAGAAGCTCTTGCCCGAGTGCGCGAGCCACTGCTCGAGGCAGTCCGAGTGGGTGAAGCGGATGCTGCCGCTGCACTTGCAGGGCGCAAAGAGCCGGCGCTGGGGCTCGGCCTCGCTGCGGCAGACGCGGCACTCGGCCTCGTCGTCGTCGTCGTCGTCGTCGTCTTCTTCTTTTTCGTCTTCTCGTGCGCTGGTGGGGCGGAGGGGCAGCGCAGGCGGCGCGACGTCCGGCGCGTCGACAACCGGTCGCAAGTCGACCATGACCGAGTGTGGGTGAATGGGTGAATGGGTGGGATAGGACCGACGCTGACCGCCGCGAGTGGCGGAAGGTTTTTTTCTTTTCGGCGAATCAGAACCCGCGAGGGAGAAGACGAGGGACGGTGACTTACTTGACTTGGAGAGCGACCACAGCGAGCACCGACGCGTTGTGTGGGTTCGTGTGGATGCGTTGGGTTGGTTTGTGCGCTGGCATTTCGACGAATCAGAGAGGGGGGCGGTCAACGGATGTCGTCGGTCTATTGTGTCGTGTACAAACACCAATGTAGCACGTGGTGGGAACTCGGGACTGAACAAACGACCCCATCACGCGATGTCAATTGTGTCGCAAAAGGGTGTGCGCTTGCCGATTTGTGCTTTCTTTGGAAGTACTGTGGACTAAAAACGTGACTGCTGCATATGAAGAGAATCCTTGTGACTACGTACAAACGCTCGTATGCTGCGTCTCGCCAAGTAGCTGCATTATGGGTGCTGCGGATGAACAGCGCATGCTTTTCGGCATTGTTGACAGCAAACGTGTGTTGTTATCGAAGCCTGCGGACCAAAGCGTCCAGCTCAGTATCGATCTACTCATCCATTACCTACGCGCATGCGACAATAACATGTCACATCGTTCAGTTGTAGGTGCTAACGTATTCACTGCGGCGTGCAGAACACATCGATACGTTGTGAGACCGCAACTTCGCAACATTGCAATCCTCTGCCCCCTCGCTGCACGTTCATGTCAGCAGAAAACGCTCGTACTACAAGTTCGGAGGACGTATGAATCCGACGCCGCGAAATTCGAGCTGGACAAACCACTGAATCAGGTCTCGCACAGAGTACTGCAACAGGCTATGCTGGGCAAATGCCAGTGCATCGCGAATTATCTCACACGGAAATGGAGTGAAGGTTCTGGGTAAATGAGTATACGGCACTACTCGTACGAACGCGACACGCTTCCTCTACCCGCGCAAAGAAACCAAGCGTAAGTCTTCGCTCGCTCAGGATTGGAATCCGGTTGCATTCAGACTAACTATGAATGTGGCACATTGTCCGGTGCGCCCCGCAGCACATATCGATTATGCCTACAATCACAATCATTAAATCGTTCACAGCACACGACGCATGCTGATGAGCAATACATGGATGTGCTTTTGTGCTCATACGATTCGAGCAGTGAGAGTGCACACTACTTTTACTGGATGGCGCACACGTCGCATCTTCATGCTGAATGTATGGGTTTCATACAAAGGGGAAAGATGACAAGCAACTATTGTGATGAGTCATCGGGACGGATCTCCAGCATCGATGTGATGGAGCCCTTCCAGCCCGACATCCTGGTCAGCCATGTATTGCGTCGATCTTTGTGACAGTGCGCCTTTGAATGACACCCACGTATTATAGCGCAAACGTGGGCCCAAAGTGTAAGGTGCGCGGGCTTTTGTAGGGCCGCAAAACGACTTTTTTATCGATGACACGACTTGAAAGCTGAAGTAGAGCACGCTCGCGTGCATTAACGTGCAGCGAACTAGATGTGAACCACCTACCGGTAGTACTCACAAATGTGGTGCCTTTTTCGAAAAGTCTTGCGAACGATCTCATCTCTTCCGATTCTACGCTTCAAAAACCAGTCGGCAAACCAGTTTCAGCCAGTGTCGATCAAATAGTTCTCGTTCGTACAGCATCGGCGCTTTGGCCTCACTGGCAGCCTATCTTGGGGTCAAGCGTAGCGAATGTATCGAAAAAGTCTTAGGATCGGCAGCAAGCGCTAAGGGTCCTGCCTTATATGAAGATGAGGAAACTGGTGCTTTCTAGACGTCTCTCTCCTAAGTAGAAGATTCGATTTGCCCCTGCGTTCTTGTGTACGGCAGCGGGTAAACTAGATACGATACAAATAACGGGATGAAGAACTGCCTCAAAGTAGCTAGTTTTGACAAGATCGAAGGAATAAGTCGACGAAGCACCACGTCACGAAGTTCAGCCCCTCGTGCAGTATAGAACTCGCGATGCGTGCAGGATTGAGCACCCTCAATGAATATACTTGCAGTCGACATCCTTCTCGGTTGTAAGATAAAAAAAGCATGTGCCTTCAGAAACAGTGCGGATGCTTATTCGAACTAAGATCAGTTCAGCCGTAATAACGATGGTAGTACGGTGCGCACCACCTATAACCTGTAAAAAAATTCGGCGGCCGAATAATAATCTTTTCCGCAAGCAAAGACGCTTTTTCCAACGCTCCCGTCGCATTGTACATAACAAACACGTCCTTCGCACATTTCCAACACCAACTAAGAAACTAAGTCAACGATCACGAACATGCCACGCCCCAACAAATGGCTACGGCACTTGCAGGTTATTAGGGCTATTGCTGCTCGCAGTGCCATATCAAATCAATGTGATAACAAGCGCCAAAAAGGTCTTTTAGGAGACGCTATCACTGCGGCTGGCCATCACATCATTTTACCATAGGTTCCATTGCTAAATGACCTTTATCGAAACGTTTTGGGGAGAACCGAAATACCATGCACAAAAAACTTGTGACTGCACATTCAAAGGCATCGGGCAGATGAGCCCTAAATCTATTGCACCCGTCTATCTCACCACCTTTCGCCGCCATGCTCGAAAGTTCTTTCGGTAAAAGGACGTATATCGCATGTTCCTGACTAAGAAGGCCGTCGAAACACGCCGTAGAGTGTATCGGTCGCACCTTAGGGTACATACTTTATACTAACGTATGAGGAGGGTTTAGCTGCTGCCAAACACTGTGCTTTGCGATAGTTTAAGCAAAGCGTGATGGGTTTTAATGAATTTGGTTGATTGCCTGCGTCGGTTAAAAGTAGGATGTTTATAGGTACACACACACCCTTTGATACGTACATCCCCTGATATAGAGGCCCCTCTTTAAGGACCGTAACCTTCCTAACTAGGTACTGCACAGTTAAACATACAAAATGACATATAAATACTCGTTGCTACATACACACACCTCCGTAACAAGGGCCTCTTATGTGTCATCACACAACCTCGCGTATGACTCCCGCGCTCATTATCCGGTACACCCCCTATAAGTCTCCTAATACTACCATTTTTCCTATTCGTAAGGTACTTCTAATTTTTGGATCAAGGATTGAGCATTCCTCTTACTGGTACTGCAAAGTTAACTGTCAATGGGGGACATATACACACCCAGTCCAACTTTCTAACGTAATCATTTGCCATAATTCATAGCGTAAAGGCAACATAAACAAAGGTATCGCTTTCTATATTAAACAGCACTGCGATATCGATAATGACTGAGGAGACTTTTTCTCATGCATTGAAGCTGGCGTTTTACACGACCAAAAAATGGAGGCTTGGTAAGTAATACGATCTTCAGACTGATGCGAATCAGTAGACGGTACGCGCATCACAGTGCACAGGTTTTTAGTCATTGGATCGGATGGGGTGTACGTATCAAAGGGTGGATGTGTACCTTTTATCTCCTTACTATTGTGATTATTATTAGTATCATTTAGGACACGGCACTGATGGTCGACTTCCGACGCTGCTGTGACCGACTGTCGATCGCTCAGCGATGCCATTGCTCGGCCACATACAAAAGTGCTGTCATTGTGGATCATGTGCTGATAACGGCACGTACTCGAGCTGCTTGCAGTTTTCAAACCGGGAGTCCCCGGGCGAAACGAACTTTGCCCGAGGATCGATGCCCGAGAATTCCTCCCACTGCTCGAGCGTTCGCTTCGTGCCGAGACCAAACTTCTCCAGGTCGATGCAACCAAAGTCTTCTTTCGTGACAGGCAAGTGCAGGATCGCGCGAACGCGACGCTTTAGCTTTTTCTGCACTGCACTGCGTACCGCTTGCTACAATAGTGCTCCCACACCACCTTTCGGGTCTCTTACCAGTGGACCGCAACGCCTTCCGAGGGCGCGTAGAAGTCATGGATAGCATTCCAGAGCCGTGTCGCACATGAATATGCTTCGCCGTGACCAAGATAAGGTGTGTACGGGTCATTCCATACCTCCTTCACCTATTTTCAATCGCCAAAGTTGAAACTACCGGCCAGATGCGACAGAAATTGCGGCGTCGGCGTATCCTTCTTGTCAATACAAGCAGGAGCCGCGTACTGCACCATGGCGTATCTGTAGCTCGTCTCGATCTGCGACTTGTACATGAGCTGTACCAGGTCATCCACACCATGATCCGTCAAATGCTCAGTGGACTTTGGGTGGATCGAAATGATGTCGTTCGGATCCTCGATCGATTCCAAGTGCGCGATGATCATCTCGTCCCAATCGCGCATAAAAATCATGTGCGAGTCAATTGTCAGGCAGAAATGCTCGTTCATCATGGACTTTTTCGTCTCGTACCGCGCAGCAGTGGTCCCCTACACCGCATCCGACTAAACACAAACCCATCGGCAGTAGCAAGTGGATTAACAGCCGACCCCAAAGAAAAACTACCAGACGCCTCGTCAATGACCATCCGTCTCATTAACAGCGTCGATCTGAGGCAACACAAGTTGTGCGCGGTTACAGTCGTCTTCCCCCATGAGCTCAAAAAACACGTCGGCGCACGAGCACTCGTTCCTTGCAGGATAGATCTGATCATAAATGCTCATCTGACGATTGTCTGGCGCTGCTGCATTGTCAAAGATCAACCGCAGCAACTCCGAGCACCTGAGCAGGTCAAAGACACATTTCAAGTTATTGTTTTGAATGTCTTTCAATCAAGTCTTTTTGCTGTATCATAAGCATGCCTATTTCTGCACGGATCTACTTGTTTGTTGCACTTATCAATGATGAGGATGAAACGTATGTCCTTGAGCTAAATTATCATGCATGTAAACATGCATTTACTATAGAAGAGTTGAACAATCGTTTATTGAGTGTTTACATGGACTAGATACGTTTGAGGTATTAAGACAAGGTATGAGCACGTAGCTGATCTCGGTAAACCACATTTGAATCCTTATTGCAATAGCCTCGACACGCGTGATCCGGAC